CCCTCACCAGCTTGTTGCCCTTCTTTGGATGCACTCAAGTGTCTCAATGTCCTTCCCAAACTGGGAGCCCAGAACTGGACACAGTGCTCAAGGTGCAGCCTTACCAAGGGTGAGGGGCTGCACAGGGATGCACCCCTGTGCCAAATACAGGGGAAGAATGACTTCCCTGCTCCTGCTGACCACACTATTCCTGACACAGGCCATGATGTCATTGGCCTTATTGGCCCCCCCCAAAAAAAAAAAAAAATTCCAGTCCCTGGAGCAGGGTTTATTCATTTTTAAGAAGGCAAGTCTGGATGCCTGTGGTCCATGAGGGAGTGATCATGGGTGGGTAAGATTTGTTTTAGTCTTTCCAGCCACAGAAATAACTGGTTCCAGGGTTATGGTTTTCCTTTGCCTGTAGCATGAATTCCATCAGGATATCAGGAGATGACAGTGTTGTGTGGGAACCCTCCCTATTTCTCTTTCAGAATGCTCCCCAGAGACTGCCAGATGCTTCTGTTTTCAGTAGAGAGTGATAAGGTCACCCCCGAGTCTCCTTTTCTCCAGGTTGAACACCCCCAGCTCCCTCAGTCATTCCTCACAGGGTTTGTGTTCCCAGCCCCTCACCAGCTTGTTGCCCTTCTTTGGATGCACTCAAGTGTCTCAATGTCCTTCCCAAACTGGGAGCCCAGAACTGGACACAGTGCTCAAGGTGCAGCCTTACCAAGGGTGAGGGGCTGCACAGGGATGCACCCCTGTGCCAAATACAGGGGAAGAATGACTTCCCTGCTCCTGCTGACCACACTATTCCTGACACAGGCCAGGATGTCATTGGCCTTATTGGCCCCACCCCCAAAAAAAAAAATTCCAGTCCCTGGAGCAGGGTTTATTCATTTTTAAGAAGGCAAGTCTGGATGCCTGTGGTCCATGAGGGAGTGATCATGGGTGGGTAAGATTTGTTTTAGTCTTTCCAGCCACAGAAATAACTGGTTCCAGGGTTATGGTTTTCCTTTGCCTGTAGCATGAATTCCATCAGGATATCAGGAGATGACAGTGTTGTGTGGGAACCCTCCCTATTTCTCTTTCAGAATGCTCCCCAGAGACTGCCAGATGCTTCTGTTTTCAGCCACTTTTGAGGATTCTGTTTGGAAGTTTGCTCAAAAAGTTGTTCCTGACCCAAACATTATCAAACTGAAGCGCGAGGAGGAGACCCTGGACACCATCAAGCAGTACTATGTGCTGTGCAATAACAGAGATGAGAAGTTCCGGGCTCTCTGTAACATCTACGGGGCCATCACCATCGCCCAGGCCATGATCTTCTGCCATGTGAGTGCTTCCAGTCCTAGTGACCCCCTCAGAGTCTGCAAGTGCTAAAACTAAGCCAGACACAGTTTCCAGAAAGGAACTGAGAACAAAATTGCCCTTTTTGGCTTCCCTGGTTCCATTTTTGAGTGAAATCCCAAAAGCCACATTAGTGCTGGCTGGTTTGATTCTCTAGGTTTGTCCATCCAGGAGACAACATTGGACTTTTTTATTCCTGAATGGTCACTGTTATCCCTCAAGTCCTCTGAAGCAAAGATCAGAGTAATGCACATTCTTCTAAAACTGAACTGAGGTTGGAAAATGGGTGAAAATAGGGCATAATGAGGGATTGGGAAGTGTTTTGGTTCTCTAGCTGATACAGAGCTGTTCCTGGGACTTAATTTCCCACAGGTAATTGAGGATACACCTCTGGGATCTCACTATGAATCATACTGAGACTTGGTTTTCTTTTTCTGGAAGCTGCCATAATCATTTTTAGGGGAAAAAATCAGTGCTGACAGAACTGAACAGCCAGGCAAAGTGACCTCAGACAAGATGAAAGTGTTTGGAATCTGCTGCAGCAGTTTGTTTTAGGCTGTCTCAAGACATAATTGGAGCTCAAAAAACTGTTTAATTCAAGGCTGTGCAGAGCCTCTGTGGGATTCCACAACTGCATTCAGGTCTGACCCTGCCATTTTCCAAGCTGAGTAGTTGTGGATTTGTGACAAATTTCATGAGTTTTGAGTGTACACATGTAGTGTCAGTCTCCAGCAGAGTGAAATCCATGGAGCAGAGCACAAAGAAAACATATCTTATTAATCAGGGGCTCCTGAGGTGGCTGAGGTGTATTGTCTTCATGATACAGTTTGTAAGGGAGACAAAAACTGAGCAGCCACGGAGCTTCCAGTGGGCCCCCAGAGAGGTTCGTTGTCACTTTCCACATTAGACCCCCTCCCAAATGTGGGGCTGGCTGTGTGTTGCAGACTCGGAAGACGGCGGGGTGGCTGGCGGCGGAGCTGTCCCGGGAGGGCCACCAGGTGGCCTTGCTCAGCGGGGAGATGATGGTGGAGCAGAGAGCGGCCGTCATCGAGCGCTTCCGGGAGGGCAAGGAGAAGGTGCTGGTGACCACAAACGTCTGTGCCAGAGGTAGGATACAGAGGAATGGGGCCAGGTGATGCTCTAGGATTTGAGCTTTTGTATTTTCCATGGATTTGTGACCCTGCAGTTCTTTAGTGTAGAACTCTGAACTCCACACGCAGTGGCAGCTGCTGTTCTCCCGCTTTGGGCAGACACAGCAATTCCTCTCCAGGCCTGGCAATCAAGGACACCTCACTGCCTCAGGCCCCAGGAGATCAAACAAAAGGGAGATGAGGGGAGCAAGCTTGGGGTAAATTACTTCATTAGCTGAAGCTGTAATTGGAAGGTTAACCTCCAATATGCAAATGAACCAAATTTATAAAAGTGAAAAGTGAAAACCCGTGACCTGTGGTTTATTTTTGAGTGGGGGCCCCTGGAGGGCTTTGTCTGCCCAAAATGTACCTGAAGGCCCTTCAGTAAATACACCCACTTTTTATTCCCTTTATTTTGTCTGGCCTCTGTTTTTAGGTAGCCTGAAAAGGCATTCCAGGGAGGGCTGGAAGCAGCACTTCCTAAGATAACACATCCCCTGGCCAGCTCACAGGAAGAATTTGCAGGTGTTCCAGTTGGGAGACGTTGGTGTCCTTACACTGTGTGCCTGTGGGCAAACACAGGATTGCTTGTTGGCTTCCTGCTGCTTGAGATGAAGAGTCTGTCCTCTGAGAGTCTGGCACCAAGCCTGCCTTGGGCTGCTGACATTCAGGGTTTACAGTGAACTTGTGCCCAAGTATGGAAAACTGAAAAACAGTGAAATCCAGTTCACTATCCCAGTAGGAATTTGTGGTGTAATTTGACATCCTAGAACAGTTAAGACAGGATTGTACTTGGGAAAAAAACAAGTGGTCTTCAGAGCTTTGCAGGGAAGGAGAGAGTTTCTGAAATACTTAAGTGCTGGTAGAATTACCAAAATATTTAAGTCTTTGGCTGCTTCAGTGGGACTCTCTGCCCTAACAGCCCAATAGTTTTTATTTCCACCCCGCGAGGATATGTGGAAAAGCTCCATTTCAGAGTGTGAGGAGCTGTTCCTGCTCTAAAAAGATGTAAGTGAAGTTGTGTAACCCGATGCTCTCTTTTTGTCAGGGATCGATGTGGAGCAGGTCTCTGTTGTGATCAATTTTGACCTGCCTGTGGATAAGGATGGCAATCCAGACAATGAGACCTACCTGCACCGCATCGGCCGCACCGGCCGCTTCGGCAAGCGAGGGCTGGCCATTAACATGGTGGACAGCAAGCACAGCATGAACATTCTCAACAGAATCCAGGAACATTTCAGTACGTATCCTCAGGCTTTCTCCTTTCTCTAAACTGTTGAATCACTGCAGAATTTGGCTTGTTGGCTGCTGAGCAGGTCTAAGGGTGTTTGTTGAGCTTAAACGGGTGGCAGAGGAGCACAGCAGGAGTGTTGGGTGTAGCATCGCTTGGGATTGTGACCTGCTGCCTCTGACAGGAGCAGAATAAATCAGGCTGTGTTTGCTGTCTGCCTGGGTAGTCCTTGAAGTGGATGTTCAGGTAACACTGGAGCACCCAGATGGGCCTTTGGTAAAAGGAAACAGTTTTGATTTGTATTTTTAAAACCTGACTGAACATTCCCTGATAAACCAGAACTCAGGTCCAGCCAAGGAGAGCAGCATTCCCTTCTCTGCTCAGTGTTAAGAAATCTGACCTATTTCTCTTCTTTCCCAGACAAAAAGATAAACAAATTGGATACTGACGACTTGGATGAAATTGAGAAGATAAATAACTGAAATAGCTGCTGGAACTGGTGTGTGCCCTGCTGTGGAAGCTCTCCCACTACAATTGGATCAGCATTTGGATTGGCACAGCCTCTCGGCTCGTCCTGAAAAGGACTCTTCAAGATATGAGTACACAAAAATTACCTCATGTTCAAAATTGCAGTTGGACTTCAAATTGTGCAACTATGGGGAGGAAGAGGAAATGTTTACAGAAGCTTTTAACATTTCTTAGTTTAGCCTTAAAATGGGATGATCTTTGGAATTCTGAGAAATACACTTGCCAAAAGAGAGGCAATAGGGAATACCTAAAATTTTAAAAGGAAAACAAACATTATTTTCTTTAATTGGAATAATGTGCAGCATTAATCTGATCAGTTTAAATTCAACAGCTGAGTATATAATGGACATAAGGAAAGGAAAAAATAAAAATAGAAAAAAGAAAGAAAATCTAAAAACCCCAAACAAGGCAGCTGGTTTTTGGCTAAATACGTAACTTGTACAAACTAGGATGTCATTCTCTTTGGAGCTCCCCTGAGCTCTTTAGGACTCATTTCTGGCTTTCTGCCCTGCTTTTCCTTACATAAGTTGTCCTGAGGATGTCTCCAGTAGCTCCTACTTGCAAGCACAGGTGCCGTGTCGCTTTGCTGGGCAGTATTTTCTTTTCCTTGTCCTGGATTTGTTGGGATGGCCACTCTCTGTGATGTGGGTGGTGGTGACACTACAGAAGTTCATCCCAAGTGTTTCACCTGGCTATGGTGTGGGTGGGTGGGGTGGGAGGGGCAGTATGAAGGGAACTGTACTAATGGATTGCCTGATTAAATTCAGCTCTGTCAGTGAAATTCACCATTGGTTAAATGCACCGTGTTGTGAAGCTCAGCATGGGTAATATACAGAGCTGTTGGGCTTCACCCATCAGATACAGGATTAAAAGAACAAACAAATCATGATAGCCTGCATTGACCAAAAAAATGTACCTTTAGAACACCAAATTTACCTGTTGCAGTATGTTTTAGTTACCAGAGTTTTGAGTCAAATTGCTCAGCCAAATTGCAGGTGGGAAGTGCTCCATAGTGCAAAATATTGTTGTTGGTCCCTGCCCCGGGGTGTTCCATGGAGAAGGAAGGATTCACAGCTCCTGGAGAAGGAAGGATGATGCCTCCTGTGTGTTGGGACCACTCTTGTGCACACAGCTGGACACTGTGGGCTGTTCCCCCAGCCCAGTCTCCAGGAGAAGGAGGCTCCTGAACCAGAACTTAGGGTGCACAGCTCTTTGTTGGGGGGAAATGGGACATGCATGAGCAGCCATGGGCCTGCTACTCAGCGTGGGAATCATGTCAAAACAAATGTATAAATTGTAAATTTAAACTGAATTGTTTTCTTTGCAATTTTGGCCATCATATTCTGTTCAAAGACAGGAATATGGATCCTTTTACCAAGTAAAAAAAGGCTCATTTAAAATGTACCTAAAATTTTAGGAAATTGTGCACCCTTTTATCAATTTGTATAAAGGCTTTAGTGAAGAAAAAAAAAACAGCTTAAAATTAAACTTTTTGTATTCTGGGGTGTATCTATTTTTATTCTGTTGGAATCCTATTTAAAGTGGCAGGTGAGTGAGTGCTTGCGTGTGGAGTGGAAGACTTGATTTAATCACCTACTTTCCTAGTACAGTTGAATGACCTGGTGACAGCAGAGTATTGGGTTGAATTGTCGTGGAAGCTGCTGCTGGTCCTGTGTGCTGTTTCTAATGTACTTTTAATTGGAATTAAAGAACACATAGTGAACAATTCCTTTGCTGACTTCTTGCTTGAATACTTCGTTGGTGTTTAAAAGCCTCAGTAAGGACATTCTCATCCAAAAGTCCTGATAAGTTTTATATTTGTGCAGAATGAATTTTAGTGCTGAAATTCTTAAAAGGTTTCCACAAAGAAGCTTGTTAAATGATTCCACACAATAAATGAGGTCAGATGAGTATTGTTCTTCCCCCTGTGCTTCTTGTGCTGTACTTACAATTGCTGCTAAAATCTCCCCAGAACAGTTCTGAAGGGAAGAGAAGAACTGAGGGAGAAAAGAGGTGTTTTCCCTGCACTGTGCTTGCCTAGAACAAGACTTGATGGTTTTTTGCCCATCTTTGGAGATGCTGTAGCCTGGGTGAGGTGATTAGAACCAAACTCATCCAGCTTAATCAGGAGGAACATCCTGCAGCATGAGAAATCCACCACGAGCCAAGTGACTCTGAATTGTCTGATTGTTCTGTTCTTGCTCAGAGCCCCTGTGCTCTCACAGCTGCCTGGTGGTCCCCAGCTCTGGTCACAGCTTGTCACTGATGAATTGTGCTTCTTCCTTGGCTGCAGGCTTGTACTGAGCACAGGATGCAGACACAAACTTCAGGAAGGTGGTGTGGAGGACAGCTGACCATCCAAAGGCTGGTTTGGGCAGCCCCTGAGGTATTTGCCATCAAATTGAAGGTTTCTTAAGAACAGGTGTGATGGACAAACCTCAGCTCATGTAAATCATTTAAAGTTCAAATTTCAGCCTAAAAGGTTTTATTTAACACAGGATTAAAATACTCTGAAATACAGGAGTAACACAGTACCCACAACAGGCAGAAAGAGGAATTAACCACCTAACTCTGAAGGAAACTGGAAAATGGTCCCTTTTCCTGAAACCAAGTGAAATACTTTGTGGTTCTGTTGAAGGCATCCAGATGTTTCAATATCCAGGACTGCTGAGTGATTCCCATCACAGCAGCAGGGACCACTGTTCCATCAGATACTGGTTTTACAAAGCTGCTGAGCACTTGATTTAGCATCAGGTATCACACTCACAGCCAGCACCAGCAATCAGCTTTCTGCTCCTGTTGCGTTTGTGCTCCTGTGCCTAGTTGGTTTGGCACTTACACTGAGCTTCAAAATAAATTTGGTTTGCCTCAAAACATTTAAACTCACTCATCTGTGTGGCATTGTTAAAGGAGATTAAAAATTACTGCCTTTGAAATTCCATTAAAAACTAGAAGATATTTCTCTTTTTTTAGCACAAGCACATTGTGTTTGCCTAAACCTGCCAAGTCACCCGACCAGCCTTTTAATGGTGGTTTAGTAAAAGATGGCTTACTCCTTGAGCCAATTCCCAGTCAAATCCCATTAATATCTTATTTAAAAATTCCCAAAGCAGCACTTGCTCCTTGGACTAACTTCAGTGTAAAGGCATTAAATGGAATTATCTGTAAAAAAATCCCTTCTTAACTATCCACCTTTTCTTACCTATGGATCACATGAGCCAAATAAGAGAAGGAAAACTAAGGAGAAAATCCTGTTGCTCCCCAAGACAGCCAAAATAATAATTATTTGTTATTAAAAAGATTATTTAGTCACAGTTAAGAGCTGGACTGAGGTTACCCAGAAAGACCTGAGCCCTCACAGCTATTTTATGATCAGTCTTGCAATTTAATACTTCACAATAACTCATTCATGTGTTATTACTGTTATTTCCAGATGGGTTTGGGGTTTGATTTTCTTTTCAGTCTCTTGAGAAGACATTTAGCATAATGATAATCTACTGAAGGTGGTCCTGTAGCTAAACCAGTTCTGTTTCTACCTTCCCAAATGGTGCTTCTGCATTCAGAGAAGTGGTACCTTCCCAAAACATAGAAAAGGACAAGGGGAGAGGTCTTGAATACCTGAGTTTTCAAAGAACATCAGGAACTTCAGCAAACCAGAAAGGCTGAAGGTTGGTGGTGCTGAGGCAGAAATTTTTGATGGCACAGGTGACACAGGCTGTTCTGTATGAATCGAGTTTATACATCTGAAATACTATTTCAAGTACTGCTACATATCCATAACTCTGCTTCCTGGGGATTTTGTGGGAGATAGAAGGTTAAGAAGGAGGTGCAGGAAGCATCAGACTCTCAGTTTTTGGAAGAAGCACTGCACCCCACTGAGCAGAAGAACCCTCGGGGTCTCTGTGTGCCTAAAGATCTGCTGCATCGTGCTGCTCGTCCTGTCGGATGCACAGCACGGACCTGGGGAGGATCCCGCACTCCTGAAGGGACTTGGAAAGGTCACAGAAGCTCCTCCGGGGCACCTCCATGGTTTCAATGCTGCAGTGTTGGTAGTTGGCCAACAGTTTCTGTCCTGCCACAGCAAGGACGGTCTGGAGGCTGTCAGAGGGCTTGAAGTGGTGCTCAAACCTCTGCCCGGAGGGAGAGCGGACAGCGAGCAGCACGTGCGGCTCCTCCGAGCTTGCAGGGGACACCCAGGGGCTCCCCTGCCTGCCCCCCTGCTCGGGGGCACAGTACGCCTGTGAGCTGTCTTCGGTGGGAATGCCGCTTCCTGACAGTGTGCTGGCAGATCCCTGTCCTCCAGAAAAAGGCTTGCTGGCTTTTGGAGCATCCTCCTGCCCCCCGCTCACTTCCAGCAGGTTGGTCCGCTCAGCCAACGCCTCCACGGCGCTGCTCCCTGCGCCCTTCCTGCCGATGGAGGGGAGCACCCGGTACCTGTTCAGGGAGGAGGAGCAGCTCTTCAAAGGCACTTGCTGCAGGAGCTTTGGGATTTTGCCAGGAGACACCTGGGCAGGTGGGAATGCTGCTTTTGTGAGCGGTGCTCTCCGGCTCTTCACTAATTCCCGAGGAGAGGCTGCCGGCGGGGAACACGGCACCTGGCACGGGCAGGCTTCCGTGCCCTGGCGGTGGCTCAGGCTTGGCCTCTGTCCCTTGGCAGATTTGGGCCTGGAGACGTGCATGGTGATGGTGCTGGCCCACAGCAGAGGGGCCGTGCCCAGAGGGAAGTGGAGCTGAGCTGGTGCTGAGTCCTGGAAAGCAGCTGTGGCCATCGCACCTGCGGGATGGAGCAGAGGGAAAGTTACAGGAGCTGGCCAGGAGGCTTCACCCTCCCTGAGGCTCCCATGCTGTGCTGCCTGTCAGGTAACAACAGAGTAAATCTGGGGCATCACTGCATGGGCACCACTGGGCATCACCGGGCACCACTGGGTATCACTGGGCATTACTGGGCATCACTGGGCATCACTGCAGCCCTGCAGTGCAGTAAGGGCTGAGTCCCTGAGGGTGGGAGATGTGTTCTTTGTAGGGACTGGCTTTGGCAGGAATTGTGTAAAGTTGACCCAGGGCTTTGGGGAGTCATGCCCTTTCCCACTGAATGTAAGGTTTTGATGGAAAGAACAATTTCTTTCTTCTGAAGCTGGAAACTCAACACAAATAGGAGATGAGTGAAGCTCAGAGCACAACTCTGGCCTTCTCACTGTTCTTGCAATGGCAGATTCAGTTCCCATTGTGGATTTTGGGATAAGACTGACTTCATATTTTAAAGGTATCTCAAAATCACTGAGATTGAAAAACCCTGATTCAATACACAGAAACCTGTTCTGACTCTCCAGTGACCAAAAGCTTGGTCCAAAAGTGTCCAAAATTCCATGCTTACCAGAGAATGATTAACTTGAGGGAATGGCTGGAGCTCTTTCAGGGAGGTTTAGGTTGGATATCAGGGAAAGGTTCTTCCCCCAGAGGGTGCTGGCACTGCCCAGGCTCCCCAGGGAATGGATACAGCCCTGAGGCTGCCACAGCTCCAGGAGCATTTAGACAAGGCTCTCAGGGATGCCCAGGATGGGATTGTTGGGGTGTCTGTGCAGGGCCAGGAGCTGGACTGGATATTCCTTGTGGGTCCCCTCCAGCTCAGGATATTGCATGATTCTGTGATAGAACCTCCCCTGAGGAGGAAGCCACGTTCTGCTGCGTGTTTCCCAAAGGAAGCTGTGCCTGGAGCTCACAGCCACTGGGTCACAACCTCACAACATTTTGGACAAGTGCCACAGGGAACCTCCTCCTCTGTTGCTGTGGGTTTTGTGGCAGCATTTACCAAGGGGGTGGGAAAAGGTCACCTTGGATTGCTTGGGATTCTCCAGAAATGACACAGTCACATTCAGCTGCTGTTTGTCCCCCAGCAGTGCAGAGCTCAATGCAAACCTCAGGAGCTCAGCAAAGCCAAGGGCAAATCCTTACACCTGGCTTGGGGCCATCCCAGCACACCTGGGTGGAGGAGGGATGAAGAGAAACTCTGGGAGAAGAACAACCTGCAGAGCTGCCTCCAGCTCAGGGTGCCCAGCACAGGGAGGAGCTGGAGCTGCTGGAGAGTCCAGAGGAGGCACCAGCATGAGCAGAGGGATGGAGCAGCTCTGCTGGGAGGAAAGGCTGAGAGAATTGGCATTGTTCAGCCTGGAGAGAGGAGGCTCCAGGGTGGCCTTCCAGTGCCTGAAGGGAACGGACAGGAAAGATGGAGAGAGACTGTGGGCAAGGGCCTGGAGAGACAGGACAGGGGGAATGGCTTCCCAAGGACAGAGGGCAGGGTTACATGGGACCTTGGGATGAAATCCTTCCCTGTGAGGGTGGGCAGGCCCTGGCACAGGTGCCCCTGGATCCCTGGAAGTGTCCCAGGCCAGGTTGGACAGGGCTGGGAGCAGCCTGGGACAGTGGAAGGTGTCCCTGCCATGGCAGGGGTGGAACAAGATGTTCTTTAAGTTCCCTTCCAACCCAAACCCTTCTGGGATTCTATTCCAAACCAAACAGAGAGAGCAGCCCCTGTGGCACTTTGCCAGTGATGTGTTTGTTATTTAACACTTCACTTCTCCTCCAGCTCAGCACGGCCAAGGCAGAGTCCCAGCACACCCTGCCCAGCCCCAGCTGACAGACCTGTCCCTCTGAGCCCCCAGCCGAAGGGGACAGGGACACTGGCCCGGGTGACTCATCCCAGCCTCCCAGGAGCCTGGGGAGGGACAGGGGCTGTACCTGCCCCTCACTGCCGCTAACAAATACACTCCAAGGCAACAACGCCCTGAGGCAGAACTCCCAAGGCCCGGGAGCACTCACAAACACCCCCAGCGATGCTGCCACTTCAAGAACAAACCCCCGACCAACCAACCTGGCAGAAGCCCCGGTGGGGCCCTCGGTGAGCGCCTGCACTGCCCCAGCACGGCGCACGGCAGAGGGGACAGGCTGAAAACACTGTGGGATGGGGAAGCACAGCCAGCCAGGGCTGTGCCCCCACACGGGTGCCCCCGGGGCCCGGGAGCCGGGCACTGCACACCCCTGGTCCCTGCAGGGATCCCGGCTGCGCCAGGCTGGCAGGGACAGTGCCAGCTCAGCCCGTGCCACCTCCGCGCTCCAGCGGGGCCGGCCCAGAGCGCAGGGCACAGGACGGCCTGGGATATCTTTGGGGGGACACTCCGCAGCCTCCCTGGGCAAGGTATTGCAGGTGTTAAAGAAGTCCATCCTCATGTTCAGGGGGAACTTCCTGGGCACCACTCCCTGCCCGCTGCCCTTGTCCTGGTGCGGGCTGGCGCAGCCCCAGGCAGAGCCCGCGGTGCCACGGCCCGGCCGGGCCCACAGCTGGGCCTGGGGCCGAGCCCGCGGCAGGAGCGCAGCCCCGCCGGCAGAGCCCGGCCCGCTAGCGCGGCTGCACGGCCCCAGAGGCGGACCCCGCTCCCTCCCCCTGTCTCTGTGCCGGTGCCGGTCCCTGTGCCGGTGCCGGTCCCGGCGCCGTTCCCGGTCCCGTTCCCGGTCCCGGTCCCGGTGGCGGTGCCGCGGCGGCCCCGCCGTCCCTCACCTGCCCCGCGCCCGCCGCACGGCGCCGTTGCCGTGGCGACCGCGGCACTTCCGGGCGCGCCGCAGCCCCGCCCACAGCCCCGCCCACAGCCCCGGTGCGGCCCCGCCCACAGCCCCGCCCCAGCGCCCCCCCGCGAGCCGGGCACGGCAGCGCCCGTGGGAACGGGAATGGGGAATGGGGAACGGGAACGGGAACGGGAATGGGAATGGGGAATGGGAACGGGAACGGGAATGGGAACGGGGAAAGGGTAATGGGGAATGGGGAATGGGAAGGGGAAAGGGAATGGGAACGGGAATGGGGAAAGGGGAATGGGGAATGGGAATGGGAACGGGGATAGAAATGGAAATGGAGATGGGAACAAGGAACAGGAATGGGAATGGGGATTGGGAAGGGGAAAGGGGAATGGGAATGAGGAATGGGAATGGGGAATGGGGATGGGGAGGGGAACAGGAACAGAGAATAGGGATGGGAACGGGAACAGGGAATGGGAATGGGGAGTGGGAATGGGAATGGGAATGAGAACAGGACCTGGGGATGGGAACGGGGAATGGGGATAGGAATGGGAACGGGGACGGGAATGCGAAACTGAACAGGGATGGATGGGAGTGGAGATGGGAACAGGCAGGAGTGGGGCAGTCAGGATGTCCTGGGATGGATTCAGGGGAACTGGGGAGGGACAGTTGGGATGTTCTGAGATGGATCCAAGGATGGGGGGGATGGACAGTTGGGGTGTCCTGGATGTCCTGGGATGGGTCCAGGGACAGACCCAGGGATGGGGCAGCTGGGGGGTTCCAGGGTGGAGCCAGGGCTGGGCATAGCTGGGATATCCCGGTGTGGATACAGGGATGGGGACAACCAGGCTGTTCCTGGATGGAGCCGGGGCTGGGCATAGCTGTGATGTCCCAGGGGGTCCCGGGGGATGTCCCCAGGCTCAGGGACAGCTTCAGGCCTGGCACGGCACGGGAGCAGCCCCGGGACTTTGGGAAGGCCCTGGAGGACACGAAGGGGAGCAGGGGGTGGCTCGGGGCCTCTCACAAACTGCCCAGAGGTGACCCTGGTACCGGGGTGTCCCAGCCCCATTCCTCCAGCTCACCCAAAGCAAACCACAACGGTGTCCCCGTGCTGGCACACCCAGATCTTTGGGTTTAGCCCCAACAGTTTAACACAGGGGCTGCAGCTCATCCTGAGCAAAGGCAGCAGGATGGGAGCACAAGACTGGGTTTAACCTCCCTGGGACATTATTCAGTGACCACTGAATCAAATCAGACAAATAAACCCCAAACTCATTAATTCTGAGGAAAACACCTTTTCAAAGTTACTCTTTACACACAAGATCACAAAGGGACCTAAAACAACTCTTTTGGGGGAGTCTCTTTGTGCTGGGAAAGCTGCAGCTGGGAGGGAGGGGGAGTCCTCCTGCTCCCCCCCGGCTACCAATAATCCCTGAGTCAGTTTTCCTTCTGGGAAACATCCCAGTTTTCCTTCTGGGAACACCCCACATAACACCCACCTTTTCCATCTCCCCCCATGAGTTCCTTTCTAATCCCACTCCTACTTCAGCAGCTGCTGCTCCCACTAACAGATGCCCATCGAAGGCAACAACAAACAAGCCATAAACTTCCACCATAAACTTGGGGTCTCCACCCTGCAGGGTGGGAGGATCAAGGCGAACCTGTGCACTAAAAAGAAATAAAATAAGTAGGGAAATAGTTTCCTATCAGCTCACCCCAGCCCAGGATATTTAGCAGTGCTGCAGATCAAAGCACACGGGGTATTTACACTTCAATAAGGCCCTGAGCAAACACATGGCTGGGTGATACCCGACGCCCCTTGCTCCATAGAAAAGCTGAAAAGTTCCACATTTCCAATGGGATAACAACTTCCACAGGTAGTTTTTAAGCCCTCAAGTTTGTGGGCTGTTAAAGACAGGGTTTAGCTTCATGTGGGCACTCCCCTGAATGGGTCCTCCACAGAGAGGGAGGGCTTGAAATGAGGGGATTTGGTTAAAACCACATATGGATCCCAAATCCACATGATCCCAGCTCTCTGCTCTCCATTTATGTCTCTGGACAATGCTTTCCACACATATTTATCCAAACTCTACAGCAAAACCCCAGATTTTTCCCCCAAATCCAAGGGCCTGCAATGCCAAAGCAGGAGCAGCACAGGAAGCAATTACCACAGTGGGGAAAACCTACTGCAGTTTTGGAAGTATTTTGTGGAGGAGAGGGGAAAGGGATTGATTAATTTATTATTAGGGATGCCCTGGTTTTAAAAATCAGATGGGGAAAGCAGGGGTTTGGGTATTTTGGAGTGGTTTCTTGTGCAGATGGCGAGTGGGGAGGCAGGTGAGATGTCACTCCCCATCCTTAACAGGCTTGGATGGGGTTTTATTCCATTTGCAGCAGGAAATAAAGGTTTACAGGGAAGGAAAACCCTGGGACAGACAGCTCTGCCACCCTGGAGGGCAGCTGAGAGGTGACATCCAGCATCAGCTTTGGTGGCTCCCAGGAATTTCAACAAAGGTTTCTTTTTTTGACTCCAGACCAGTCTGGAGGTCATGTCTTTACAATTCCCAACCCCAAATTCCCTTCCCCAGGAGCGTGGTTAATCCCTGAGGGTGGGGCCCTGCATATCACCCGATAGCTGCATTTGTGTCTGTGTTTGCTCTTGGCCCCACGGTTTCAAGGAAAACAGCAGCTTTTGTTCCTTATCTTCTCTGGTTTTCTGTCTCCCCCGTGTCTCTGTCTTATGTTGGGCTGTGGTAATTCAATAAACTGTATTCCCAAACCATTCAAGTCGGGTTTTCATGGCTTTTCCAGCCTTTGCTGCTGGTAGTATAATTTCACAGACCCCTTGCCACAAAAACCCAAGGGCAGGACAGGAAAACTGCAGACCCAGGAACTGCAGTCCTGCTGTTTGCTGCTCTCCCTTGCAATTTGGCACAGCTGGATCTGGATGCAGCCATGGATTTGTGGGGACAGTTCAAGGAAGGAGCCAAGAGAAACCATCTTTGAGGATTCAGGGGGTGAGTTGGCAAAACTGAGGAACTACTGAGCCCAAAGTGCTGCCTCTACAACTGGAACAAGGATTCAATGGCCTCTGAGGTGCCATCCTGAGTGTAAATCACTTTTGTCCCCCTTCTCCAGCCACCAAATCCCGTGGATTTTAAAACCATGGCCATGGCCAAGGCCTGGACTGGCCTCATGCAGGGATGGAGATGGCCTCGTGCCCGTGATGAGCAGGGTGATGGAGGAAGTGTTGGTGCTCACTGCTGTGGGAAAACTCATGTTTTTTGGGGAAGAGAAGGATGGGAATCAGCTCCCTGCTCCAGGCAAGCCTGGCTTAGGACAACTGACACCATCAGCACAGATAGAGGAGGGGGTGGGCCTCGCAGGGATATAAACCCACCCCGCTGAGCCGGCAGTGCTGGAGCTGCAGGTCCAGGCAGGGTAAGAAGAGGGGATTTCACTGCCCTGGGGCTCATCAGGCAGCTCGGGCCGTGGGGGGAAGGCTGCAGCTCCTGAGCTGCTCCAGCAGCCCCAGGCAGGACAAGCCCCTGCATCCCTGCCAAGCCCCAGCGTCCCCAGACTGGGATACAGAGCAGCCAGGATTCACTCGGGGATGCCCCACACAGTGACAGCAATGTCACCTGGGCACTGCCAGGTGCACCCAGCTCCTCTGGGCACTGGAGAAGCTCCTGTCCTGCCTTGGATCATCACCTGTCCTTGTGTTCCTTCTCCAGGGCAGCCCCAGGATGAGGAATCTCCTCCTTGCCGTGCTCCTGGCTTGTGGTAAGTGCCCTGCTGTCCCTGGCCAGGCAGAATCACCTACAAACCCTGAGTCTGTGCACAATTCAGGTTTTTGTTTAAATCTGGCATTTTCTCTCCAGTGCTTCGTGTAGAAGTGCTGCAGTCCTGGAGGGTTGGTGAAGGGGAGCTTTTGGGATGCTGGTGTCCATATTTCGTTTGGGAGGCCCTGGAGCCTGTTGTCCCCTTTCCTGCCTGTGCCAAGCCACGGCTGACCCTGGTGATGGGGGATTGCAGCTTGCAGCACGGCAGAGCCAGTCCAGAGGGCAAAATATCTTGTGCCAGACCAAATCCAGAGGCTGTAGAAGCCAGACTGAAAAAGCCATCCTCCCTGAGAGGAGGCTGTGGCTGTGATGGTCCCAGTCCTAGAAGTGTCCAAGGCCAGGCTGGACAGGGCTTGGAGGAAGCTGGGATACTGGAAGGAGGTGGAACAGATGGGCAGGAGGTGGAACAAAGCCAGATGGGCTTTGAGGTTCCTTCCAGCCCAAACCATTCCATAATTCTGGAGGAGAGGATAAAGCTTCTGAGGATTGCGATCCGGCAGCGCGGTTCGGGCAGTGCCCGAGCAGTGTGAAGGCCGAGCCCGTGCAGGGCGCAGGGAAGGCCCTGCCCTGCCCGCCCAGCCCCTCGTGTCCCCGTGTCCCGCAGGGCTGCTCCCGGCCGGTGCAGGGCACAAGGAACCCCCTGCCCTGCCCGGCCCCCCACCTCGTGTCCTTCAGGGCTGCTCCCGGCGCCCCGCCCGGCCCCTCGTGTCCCGCAGGGCTGCTCCCGGCCGGTGCAGGGCACAGGGAAGGCCCTGCCCTGCCCTGCCCGGCCCCTCGTGTCCCGCAGGGCTGCTCCCGGCCGGCAGCAGCGTGCTGGAGCTGGAGCGGATGATCCGGGCGGCCACGGGCCGCAGCGCCCTGCTGTCCTACAGCTGGTACGGCTGCTTCTGCGGCATCGGCGGCTCCGGCACGCCCGTGGATGCCACCGACCGGTGAGTGCCAGCAGGGCCCAGCTCCCCAGGCGGCCCTTGCTGGCTGCCTCCCAGTGCTGGAGGTCTGCACCTTCCCCAGCCAGGTCCTGCTGTTGCCTTGCCACCTCCTTTTGCTGGTCGCCTTCAGTTCAAGGCTGGGCCTTCCCCTGGCCCCCAGGCTGCCCAGGGAGGCTCTGGGGGCCGCGCTCTGACTCCGTGTCCCCGCAGGTGCTGCCAAGCCCACGACTGCTGCTACAGGAGGCTGAGGGAGGGCAGGTGCAGCCCCCTGATCACCCCGTACAGCTTCACTGCCAGCGACGGGCACATCACCTGCAGTGAGTACTGACCGGGCAGTGGGCAGCAGCACCGCCCCCAGCCCCATGCCCATCCCAATCCCCAGCCCCATTCCATCCCCATCCCAGCCCCAGCCCCATCCCAATCCCCGTCCTCATCCCCATCCCAGCCCCATTCCAGCCCCATTCCAAACCCCAAATACATCCCATCCCAATTCCCAGCCCCATTCCCATCCCAGCCCCATTCCACCCCCATCCCAATCCCCAGCCCCATCCCAATCCCCAGCTCCATCCCAGCCTCATTCCATCCCCATCGCAATCCCCAGCCCCAGCTCCATCCCAATCCCCAGCCCCATCCCCATCCCAATCCAAATCCCCATCCCAATCCCCAGCCCCATTCCCATCCCAGCCCCCTTCTATCCCCATCCCCATCCCAGCCCCATCCCCAGCGCCACAGCAGAGCACACTTGAGAGCCTCCCCCGGCTGAATCCAGCCCCGTTCCCACCCGGCTGCGATGATTAAGTGGGCACTGAGGGTGTGGGCAAGTGGGACACGCTGCTCCCTCCCCATCCCCGGGGGGAGAGGCACTGCAGGGCTCCGTGTTTGCCCCCGCAGGCACCGAGCAGAGCTGGTGCCAGAGAGAGACCTGCCTGTGTGACACCGCGGTGGCCTCGTGCTTCGCCAGCTCCCTGCACTCCTACAACAATTCCTACCGCTTCTACTTCAAGCTCAAATGCCAAGGCAGCAAGCTCCAGTGCTGAGGAGTGAATCTGCACACTGAGTTCCAGGTTTTGGCTGCTTTTCCCCAGCAAGAAAAGCTTGGGCTGGGGGCTCAGTAAAGGCAAAGCCCCAGGCTCCCTGCGAGGTGCAGCTCGGGGTGAGAAGGGCACACACACCATGGATGGACGACCCAGCAGTTCCTGGAAAGACACACCAGCTTCCCCTTTTTTGTCCCTTCCTCCTCTCTTGATCTCATTTCCCAGCAGAGATAACAGATACAATAAAAGGGATGCAGACTGGTTCTCCATGGTGTTTTTCTGTAAGGGCTGCTGAGATTGAGGCACCGCAGTGGTGGCTGCTGAGTTTGGGGAGCACTTCTGCATCCCTCACCTCAGCCACACCAGGTGCCTGACACCCCAAAACTTCCATGGTCCCAACAGGGCTGTAATTCCCACATCTATCCCAATGTGGAGCTAGAAGTTTGGGGAACAGGTTGTCCAGAGAAGCTGTGGCTGCCCCTGGATCCCTGGAAGTGTCCAGGGCCAGGCTGGACAGAGCTTGGAACAGCCTGGGACAATGGAAGGTGTCCCTGCCCATGGCAGGGGAGGGGGCACTGGATGGGCTTTAAGGTCCCTTCCACCCCAAACCAGTTTGGGATTCTTTGAGTTTCCAGTTCCTAGCTCAAAGGGCACACTCAAACAGCTTTGTGAGGAACGCTAACAGAACAGTCCCAGGAATACAAGAAGAGGCTTCACAGGGATTTTGAAGTTGTGTATCATTCTTCTGTTCCTCTTGCCCAGAGTCAGGACAGCCTGAACCACAGCTCAGCACAAGGAGGAGCTCACGGGAGTATCCCCAGGATCTTCTGGGATGTTTAGCTTGTGGCACATGAGGATTTTACTAGGAATGACACAACTGTTCTTTTATATCTATTTCCTGCTATAAACAATTCCATATAAAGCATTTCATAGAAACACATTTTGTTATGCAAACACAATAAAAGCAAGAAAACAGCATGACTACAAAAATTAATTGTAAATTATTAATGAGGCAGTAATTAGCCAGAGGAGCATTAATGGGCTGTGAGCAATTCAGATAAGCACAATGCACATGCCAGCCTGGGAGCATCACCCATGACACCAGAGGCAAAGCAGAGCTGGAATCAGGGCTTGGCTGAAAACTTTGTCAGTGGAGGACAAGAAAAAAAAAACACATTTTTCCAGCACAAAAGATAAAAGACAGACAAGTTATCTTCCTTTCTTAATGTCCCTCCCAAACCAAATCAGTGTGGGATTCCATGACTCTTGGAAATGAGGGTTAAAGAATAATCATCCACAGAGGAAGGAAGATTTCAAAGCCTTGACCACTTACATTAGACAAGTGCTAATTTAGGAGAGAAGTTGAAACTGAATGGTTTCTGCAGGAGGGTGTAATGAGGGGGAAGAAAAACCACAAGGAGAGAAATAAAGAGATGTTGAACCTTCTCACCTCTGAATATTCATTTTGCTTCTGTGTTTTCTCATGGTGAGTGAAGGTATAATCATCCAGTTCCCTCGTGATTCTGGGAACTGCACATTCAGAGATGCTTTCAGTGTTGCCCATAGACTTTGCCCAAAGAAGTGACAACTCTCCTTGAACCACCTTACACCTCCTTGAACCACCTTACACCTCCTCGAAAGCCCCAGACTTGCTGTGTCTATGCCCAGGCTTATCCAGAGCTGTTCTTTTCCCCCCCGATGTGGCTCCTTGGTGCTGGGAAGGGCAGAGGAGGAGGCACCTCTGGCTGAGGCAGAGTGTGTTTGCTTCCTCCTCAGGCTGGAAGTGACGCTGCTTTTCCACCTCATCCCACCCAGCACCCACCCCGTGCGTGGGGTGCGGAGCTGGGGCCTCAGGGGATTTCTGACATTCCTCAAAAGGGGAAGGATGGCACCTTCTCCTTTGCAGGGAAGCCCAGTCAGCGAGATTTTGGTCAAAGGAGACCCACGCAGATGGGAGCAAGCTATATAAAGCAGGCACAGCTGGCTGCAGGGCACTGCAAGCCAGCAGGGCTTTCCCGAGGTAAGTGGGGATGGAGGATTGCTTTCCCTCTCCTCCTCCTTTCACCAGAAGCTGTGGTGCAAGTGGGGAGCAAGTGCCAGCCTGGGAAGCAGGACTGAAGGAGATGCTGCCTGAGATGCCAGCCCAGAAGAAAAGCAGCAGGTGCAGCCCTCGAGGGCTGAACATCCCTCCAATTTTTCTCCCTTTCTCCTGATTATGTTTTTTTCCTGATTCCCATCACTGCCCATCCCCAATGCTTTGTGTTGAAACAACAGGGCCATCTTTACCCCCTTGTTGCTCCTGGTCCCCAGAGAGAGGGAGAACCTCTGCTCCTGGGTGATGAGGAAGGAAAGAAAGAAGGTGGTTGGTACAACAGAGAATGGTTTGGTTTCCTCCCCCAGAGCCACCAGAAGGATGAACTCTCTCCTCGGCCTGTCCGTGCTGTTTGTGTGGGGTAAGTGTCCTCTCTCAGTCCCAAGGCTCTCTGTGCAGTTACATCCATTGAAATCAGGACCAGGCTGGTGATTTCTCCACCTCTCCCCATCACCAGCTCTCCCAGAAATGCCACAACTCTCCTGTGCCAAGCTGGGAGCACGTTTCCTCTCTGTTGCATTATAATTTCTAAGACATCACCAGCCTGGTGCCAGTTTGGGGGCTGCAGGGATGGAGCTGCTCTTGGGGGGGGCAGAGAATCAGTGTGGTCTCCCTGATTTCCCCCCTCCAGGCTTGTCCCCAGCCCACGGGAACCTCTTGCAGCTGCACCAGATGATCTCAGAGGTGACAGGGAAAAACGCTCTCCTGCATTACGGCTTCTACGGCTGCTACTGCGGGCTGGGGGGCTGGGGGCAGCCCAAGGATGCCACAGACAGGTGAGAGTCCCTTAAAAACCCCCTGCACGGACACGTTCTGGAATATTTTTAAATTTGTGGCGTGGGGGGGAGAAACCTCCATCCCCTAAAGCTGTGATCTCCCGCGCAGATGCTGCCAGCTGCATGATACCTGCTACGAAAACCTCCTGCGGTACCACTGCGATGCCAAGACACGCCCCTACCGCTACAGTTGTCACCACGGCAGGCTCTCCTGCAGTGAGTAGGGCCCTGGAAAAGGGGGTGCCACCCCCCAAAGCCGGGGCTGACCCCGGGCTCCCCTCGTCCAGCAGGACAGGACTCCCGGTGTGCCTTCTTGTCCTGCGAGTGCGACCGCAGCCTGGCGCTGTGCCTGCGGAGAAACCTCGGGAGCTACAGGAAAAGCTACCAGTTCTACCCCAACGCGTGGTGCCGGTGATGGAGCCGGGATGCGGCGCCGGGACCATCCCTGCCCGTGCCCCGGAGCCGCTGCGAATGAAAACAACGCAGAAATAAACAATGTTCTTGCTCAACGGCCCCGGCCCTCTGAGAGCTGCTGCTGGGCAGGGAGAGAAATCCCCGTGAATGATCAACATCTTCCCAAAACTTTCCAAGAGCTCGGCCGGGGCCCCTGCGTCACCCGGGGCCGCGGCGCGGAGAGGGGCTGGCCGGGGAAGGGGCGTTCCGCGCCCCGGGTGTGGGACACACGAGCCCTTCTGGAGCTCCCAGTTGGAGCTCGCGGGCTGGACACGGAGGGCAGGCTCTCCCCGGGAGGACAGACGGACAGCAAGCGGTGAGCAAGCCCCCCTCGCTCCGTGGGAATGAAAGCAGCGGGGATGTGGGGGGAGGCAGCGGGAGCGGCCCGTGCCCGTAGGAAAAGCGAAATCGCTTCCCGATGGAAGCTGTGCGAGGCTGCACGGCCCGGGAGAGCGGCCCGGGAGCCCAAAGCGGTGGGGAGCGAGGTGAGAAACGCTGCAGGGGCGCGGCAGGAGTGGGGATGCTTCAGAAGCCACTTGCTCTCGGCCCAGAGGCAGCAGGGCTGATGCGAGGGGGCACAGATGCTTTCTCCCTCCGGATTTTGGGGTTGATCCGATTTCTGAGGAAGCTTCTCACGGCTGCTCCTGTCAAACTGGTGACGCTGCCTGGCTGAGCCTGTCCCCTATTTCTCCTCCCAGGCCCAGGTGAGAGGAAGATGAAGGTCCTGCTGGTGCTGACGATGCTGTTTGCCTGCAGTAAGTGCACCCCGACCCACAGACAGGAGCCAGGCTCATCCCCAAACTCCTGTACACTCCTCAGGGGGACTCCCAGCAAAGCCTCCTTCCCTCCCCAGTTCCCCCAAGCCTCATTCTTGCACGTACCAAAAAAAGAAAAAACCCACACATTTTACGGTGACTCTAGGTGTGTTCACAGCGCACGGGAAGCACCCCCGCACCTTCACACCGGGACTGGAGGGAAGCACCGTGGGAAACCTGACTGCCCATGGATGCTACAGGGGATGGGGCACCTCGAGGGCTTCAGTGGATCGGTACAGGCACAACGCTGCCCCGGAGGGCTAACGCTGGCCCCGGGGTAACCCCGGGGCTCTGCACCACCCCAGCAGCCCCCCTGGAGCTTTGCAAAATGCAGACCGGGCGCTTGGCAGCAGCAGGAAGGGATCAGGTTTTCGGGAAGCAGGGAAAGTGATGCAGTGTTCGTCCCAGCGACAACTGCCAGGCCCACGGGATGGCACCAGAGGAGAGGGACGCTCCTGAAGCCAGGATGCGGGGCAGGGCTTGCACGGGAGGCTTGGCGTGGGAACGGGCAGGACAGAGAAGCTTCTGGGTGGTCCAGAGCAGGAGGGAGCAGAGCTGGCGGCTCTCCCGCCCGGTGGCAGGGCCTGTGCCAGCCGGTGCCACGTTCCCGACGAGCCCGGCTCTCCTGCTCCCGCAGGTGCTGCCTGCTCCGAGCCTGCTGCTACGCCAGGCTGGCAGCGCGGCGGTGCCGCGTGGGACCCGTGCAGCCCCTCTCCGTGCCCCGGGCAGGGATCGCCGCCTGCAGTGAGTGCTCGCCCCGGGGCTCGGGGTGCCCCTTTCCGCCGTCCCCCCTTTCGTGGCGCCCTTTCCCGGGCAGCTCTCAGGGGCGCTCTCGGTGCCCGCAGGCTCCGGGACGCGCTGCCAGCGAGGCGCCTGCCGGTGCGAGCGGGCGGCGCGGCTGTGCCGGGCCCGGCTCGGCCCGGCCAGGCCCAGCTCCACCGCCGCGCCGGGTGCCGGGGGGGAGCCGGGCGCTGCTGAGGCAAAACCTCCCTGTGCGAAAGCATCTCCGGGCTGAGCGGCGAAGGGACGGCGCCTCCAGCCCTGGCGAGTCTCCTCCTCGGGGCTTTTCGGCTTCGAGGCGAGGAGAAGAAGCCTCCGGCCAAGGGCATGCGGGGAGCGGAGCAGCGCTGACCTGATGTCCAGCACAGCAAAGCAGGGCAGGAGAGGACACCTGCCCCTCGTCCCGGTGAGGGGCGGCATGGGGACCGTCCCCCTTGGCAGCCTGTCCGCTCCCTCCGCTTCCTGCTTCTCAGCAAATCCCCTCCTGTTGCTCCAAAATAAAACCAGAGAGCCCAAAGCACCGGTTCCCGGCGTGCAGTGACTCAGCTGAGCCCAGCGACCACCCCTCACCTCTCAGACAGGTTTCCTGTTGAAGTATTCAGCAAAAATGACACTTGAGAGGTGACACTACTCACCCCTGAGCTGCCCCAACTCAGCTCTAAACCTTCAGGCTCTGAAAATGTCCCGTTTTTCTAAGAAACAGAGAATGAGGCTGGTGGAAGGGCTGGGGACAGGCACGATGGCATGGGAGGGCTGGCCTTGGACTTCGATGATCCTTGTGGGTCCCTTCCAGCTCCAGATATTCTGTGATCCCCTAAATCTCTGCTGTGACAGCATGGCCAGGAGCTTGCCTCACACCCAGTGCTGAACAAAACAGAGTTCTCACCAGAAAAGAATGTTTGGCCCAATTCTGCAACAACCCTGAGCACATTCCTTAGGAAAAGGCAGTGGCTGCTTCCCCCTACTTCAGCATCCCCAGGTTTTGTGCCTTGGGGTGCTGACCCCAGCAGGTCTCCAGGCTCCAAACTGCCTTAGGGGACCTCAGCAAGGAAATAAAGCCACAGAAAAAGCAACAAAACACTGTTTCCTCAGGGGCCGATGCCCAGCTGGAATTCCCTGGATTGCCCCATAGCTGAACTCAATGGCACCAGGAAACAGCCCTGAAATCAGCGATGCTTCTGCCAGCTGCCACCCGGGAATCAGGGAATCACCCTGTGGAACCCTGGGGCAGAGGAGGAAGGAACCCTTCGCCCAGCAGCTGATAATTGCAGGGCATAAATCAAGGATCAAATCCTCACCGAGAGCATGGATATCCCAGACAGATTGCAGGCTGAGATGATCACACTGTCCCTTTGTAAATTCTGGGTGAATTTTAACCACCCGTGAATTTTCCTGCTTGGACATCCGGCTGTACAAATCCACTCACACAAATCCTCCAAATGCTGATGGTTTGGCTCAGATGCTGCACCCCCTCAGAGCATTGCAATAAACTGGGCTGCAAGAGTTGTGGTTTTCATACTTTGAAACAAAATCCACAGCTTCCCCAGGAGGCATTTGGCTTGGGGGGCTTATTTCCCATTTGGAGAAGGGATCCTGCAAACCTGGCACATGTAGAGGGGCCGGGGTGGAGAGGCTTTCAGTGGAGATCAGCCAGTTTGATGGGCAAGAATATCTCTTATTCCCCTGTGATAAAACTGGTTGTGGACTTGGAAAATCCTGAATTATGGCAAATCCTGCTTTACCCAATTAACACCATCCCAGGGGACTACTTAAATTAGCCCAGAGAGCTGATGAGGCAAAGGGCCCACGCCAGAGGGGGGAAGAGATTTTGCTGAGCTGAGTTCCCTTCTGTCAGCATCTCTCTGATTCCCACACAAGTTGCATCCTTATTCCCTGCCTCGGTTTCCCTACCAGCCCTGTGGGGATTTCCTCCCCTGCCTCAGTGCCTGCCCATGCTGGGGTTCCCCAAAAAGCAGCACAGAGCAGCTGCAATCTCTGCCAGAAGCTGTCTGCTAACTGATTGCTCACTACCACCAATTTAATCAGAGCAAATGACACAAGCAGCCTCTTTTCCCCCCACCTTCTATTATTAATCACTTGCATTTTTTCTTCCCTGCCACTTGCCTTATTTTGCTTCTAAATAAAGGTGAACCACACACCTCATGCTATGAGGTATTTGAGAGCAAAACACAGTGCCCAGCACACAAGGGGAGAGGGATGGAGCATCCCCACATGCAGGGGGCATCTGGGCACTGAGAAAGCCCCACTACCAAGAAAACCACCAAACATGGCCTCTGCTCAGCTCTATCTCCAGCCACAGCCATTCTGGAGACTGGGGGATCTTCCTCCACTCCCAATGCTGCATCTCACCCCCTCTGGTAAGTTGGAAAGGGAGGATACTTTGCACTGGCTGCATTTTCTCCCTGCTCAGCTAAGTCAGGATGGAAACAGTAAGACACAGAATGGCAATTTCTAGCCAAGGCATCAAAAAAAACTGTCATCCAGGAAGAAAGTGGACCACGGAATCACAGAGTCCTCAGACAATCCCATTCCACCCCTGCCATGGGCAAGGACACCTCATACTAAGTGGTTCCTGCTCTCCCTCAAGTTCTCTCATTTTACTCAAGGAAGCACTGGGAATGCTGAGACACCCAGAGCCATGCACAGACTCAGCCCCAGGCTGCTCCACACATCCAAAACCTCCTGCCAAGACCTCCACCATGTAAGGCATCCCACAGCCTCCAGCAGTGCCAGAACACCTGCACAGCAGTGGGACGAGTATGGTGAGGATTGTCAATATTTGCCCACTTTGGGCTCCCCAGAGGAGGGGCCCTGCTGAGGGTGCACAGCCATAAAAGGTGTGAGCAGCAGCACCTTGGGCTCACCAAACCCTGGAGCTGCCACTGCCAGAATGAAGCTCCTCTCGCTGCTCCTCTTCTGTGAGTATCCCCCACCAGCTCCCACCCCGGCAAAGCTCCCAGGCCCTGTCCACGGCCAGGTGGGAATGGTGAAATACCCATTTTTGCTGTGGAAAGGTGGGATGGGAGGTTGCTTTTCCTGGTGCTCTTAACCCCTCTTCTCCAGTCCTAGGACTGGCCTTTGCCAGCTGCAACGTGTTACAGTTTGCAAGGATGATTGAGAAGAAGACGGGGAAACCGGCGCTGGCTTACAACGGATACGGCTGCTACTGCGGCTTGGGCGGCTCCAAACAGCCCCTGGATGCCACTGACTGGTACGCTGGGACCGGGAGAGGGCAGAGCAGGTTCCCTCCTCACCTCCCTGGGTACAGCACGTGCCATCTCGCTCCTGCTCCTGAGGGTGGAAATAGCAATGAGAAAATTGCTGCTTGTCCTCTGTAGAGGCGGCTCAGCAGCAGCAGCCGATAGCAGAGATGCACGTGGTTGATGTTTTACTGTGCTGTCCCCACTGTCCCCTGCCCTGACCTCGGCTCTCATGCCCCCAGGTGCTGCCATGCCCACGACTGCTGCTACAAGAAGTTGGCCGCCTCCGGCTGCAGACCCAAAACGGTCACCTACAAATACAACATCCAAAGAGACCAAATAACCTGTGGTGAGAGCGGGGAGGGGACAGAGCCCCAGGCGGGGAGGCACGGCCACCCACACTCGGGGAGCTTGACTTCCAGCATCCCCTTTAGATCATCCTGGCCTGGAAATCACACAGTGAAGTGGGTGGAAATACAGGAAAAGTGCCAGGAATAAGGCAAATAAGTATTTGCTGGATTATGGTGAAGTTTAGAGCTTGAGGAGGGGCCTTGTCCTTCCCAAGAGGCCCAACACCAAGGGTTTGAGAGGACCCTCCCATCCCGGAGAGGGACCTGGCACAGCTGCCCTGACACCCCCAGAGTGAACTCAGTGTTCCACAGAGCACAGCAAAGCACATCCCAGAGATCCAGGCAGATACCCAGAGACACATCAGAGAGAAAGTGACGTGAATGCTCCCTCCAGGGCCGGGCTGCTGCACACCCCAGACACCCCAAACTTAACAGAGGGGCTGCACACGCTGTGGGGATGCTCAAAAAACACCCCTGACCCTCACACCCTTCACCTGCCTCCATCCCCCCCAATTTTCTTCCAGGAAACGGGAACTCGTGCCAGAAACGGACGTGTGCGTGCGACAAGAGGGCGGCGGAGTGCTTCCAGAGGGCAGCCAGCTCCTACCGCAAATCCTACCGCAACTACCCCAACTTCAAGTGCCGGGGCCGCACACCCTCCTGCTGAGCACTCCTGCCACGCTGCAGCTCCAAACCTGGCAGAAACCCTCACAGCTGGGGGTTCTGCCTTCCCTCTGGCCAGGCACAGCCCTGGGGCGCTGAAAAAGTGTCCAGCACCTTTCCCCAGAGCCTTAGCACAGGGGAAATCTGCTTCCCTTTGTTTAGTAACTCATAACAATGAGGTAAACCCTGCAAATAAAGATTTGCAATGTTTCAGAATTGTGGCCAGTGTTGTGTTTTGGGAATCAGTGGTGGATGGGGTAGGTAACAGCATGGAGCTTGGGGGCTGATTTTTTCAAGAAAATGTCCCTTCCTGCATACATTTTTTCTTAGAAAATTACCAGAATTGACATTTTAGCAGCAAACCAGTAAATCTTAAGAGCTCCAGAGGAAAAAAAGCCCACAGAAACAGCAAGTGGCTGCTGCACCCCAACCCTAAAGCAGGCTCCAAGCCCAGCTTCTCTCCAGGGGTTGAGCCTCAATCCACAATCCAGCCCCATCCCACATCTAATGGCTATTTAAGCAATTAATACTCCCTGAAGGCACGGGGGAACCCAGTGGTGGGGTCTCAGAGGCTTGGGTAGCTCTTTCTTGTGGACAGACATCCCCTCAAGCTGCAGCTCCATGCAGCCACCTTGTCCCACACCACAGCTGCATATGATCCCAAATTAGCCCTAATTACCTCTAATAGGCCAGGGCTGGCTGTACCCTGGGCCTCGATGGGGGCACCTCCAGCTGTAATGCTGCCTCAGGAGACGTGACCTGCCTAAAATAAAGGAGTTTTAAGGGTAATTTATTTGATTTCCATCAGTGCTGAGGGCTCCTGCCTGACTTCAGTGTTTGACTACAAGCAACAGCACCCCTGCCTCAAGCTCCTACAGTAAATGTGTATCTTTATAACTCCAAACCACTCATTTCTTCTCATTTTCTACAGGCAATAAGGATTCCAGAAGCTGAGACAGAGCCAATGCTGCCTGCTAAGGCTGGTGCTTGCACCCAGGAAGCTCCAAGGAACCACCCCACAGCTCAACACCAGCACAAACCATCTTCTTTTATGGATTATGGATTATTCTTCATCCCAAATTTCTCTCCCTTTGTGCAGCTCCCAAAGCTCTGCAGACATGGAGACCATGGGTGAGGTGGCAAAGCTGTGAGATAAACCAGAAGGCAACTCCTAAGTAGGAACAAGGGAAAGGAGACACTGAGCAGCACGGGCAGAAAATCTTTCCCATACACAGACAAGTTCATGGAGGTCAGCCAGAACCTGCCTAAATGCTTAAAACTTCCAGTTCAACTGAATTCCTGACCTGCAGGGGCAGGATTTGGGAAAGTAAGTCCCAGGAAGATGATGGTGGGAGATAGGAGGCAGGGAGAGTGGCTTTCTGCATCCTCCTGCTGCGTGCTCGCCCTTGAGAGGTTCACAGTGACCCTGCTGCAGCAACAGCCAAAACACCCTGATATTTGTCAGCCAGCTGCTAAGAACAAACAGTCATCCTCCTCAAAGCCCAAAGGAATGAATGTCCAGAGCTTATTGTCCATCCCTGGCCCGTGGATTACGGAGCACTCGGCTCCACCAAGGAGTAAACACACATGATGTATGAATCACGGTGTTGTTCTGCTCTTGCCTCCCTTCCTCCTCCCAGGAAAATCCACCACCAGTTTTAAAACCAATTTCTCTGCGTAAACTGAGTTATTGTGAAGAATGCTGCACAAAGATTCCCTAGGGAAAAAAGTTTAGATTGGGAAGGTGGAAATTTCAACGGGAAAAATGTGAAACAGACAAAATCAGTTTTAACATCTTTGGATATGGAATGGCTGTGCAGGCACAAAGATAAAGGGAATTTGACTGGTTTGTCAAGATTTATGAGCCCAGCACATTAGGAGTTTATTTTAATAATATTAAACTTTGAAATTAAAGCATTTCAGCCACAGACTGTTCCAGGTATCAGAGGCCACGAGCTGCAGGCCATCTCTCCCTCTGCTGTTGGTGCTGCTGTTGCAGACCCCCCCTTTCATCCAGCACACGATGGGGTGAGGTTTGGGGTCCCTGCTCAGCCTCCAGACCAACTCCCTTCAACTCTGAAGTCCTCAGGCTTCAGGCAACAACAGATGCCTTATCAGCTCTGGCTCCACAGGACAAAAACCCAATTCACTGAGATCAAACCTCTTACTCACAGTGTACAAGTGCAATTTCTTATCTTTTCAAGCCTGTAGAACACACCTGCCTTTCAGACCAAATGCAGGACAGGGCAGGACACATGTGACACAGTCACCTGCACTGCCTTGCCACAGCTGCTGTCACAACTTATCACCCCCTGAAAGAAGCTGCACTTTCTCCCCACTAAGCTGTGACTCACCTCCCTTTCCACCACTGTAAAAATTACTGTCTTGGAGAAAAAGGAATTCCTCCACCACCAGTTCTTACAGGAGATCTCCTTTCTTTTTATTCTTCAAGTAATAGCAGCAGACCACACCAAGTACCAGCCCAGTTCTTAGCAGTTCAGTAAAAAAAAAAAAAAAAATTAATATTTCCATGCTGATTTATAAACTTTAAAGCACAGACAAATTTTTCAAATGCAATAGTCCTTAATTTTAAAAAATCTCTTTCACCTATGCCCTGGCTGATAAGGTGTCTCCTGTGAGTAAGTGCACGTGTGCTTGCTTCAAGCTTAGTGCTTGTTACAAGCCCAAAAACCTGAGTGGAGCTGAAGCACTGTGAGCTATAAATCAAAGGCTGAGTCCCACAGTCCTTTCACTTCAATCCAAATTCTCAGTCCTACAGTGGAAAACATCACAGGAGTCAAGCTGTGCATCCTACTTGGTGACCTCACTAAAATGGAATTTAGGAAGAAAAAAACCTATCCTGGAAAAAAGGTTGATTTACGGAGTGAAATAGGCAGGTTTCCCAGATATCACTGCTCAGGACTCCTGGTCCTTTGGCTATACCAATTTCATTTGGAGACTAATACCAATCCAGCTCCTGACTTGCACTAAAGCCCTGGAGTAGCCCAAAAGCTCTGGAACAGGGCAGAGGGGACAAGATTCCAGGTGTCCGAGCAACAACACTCATCAGAAACTTCAAGCCTGCTCCTGTCACATTTTACCAGACTGAAGAATCAGCTCTGCACTCTCATGAGTCCACTGGGATTATTGTTTTGGGGTTTTTTTTCCCCCCTACAGGTCTCCTCTTAAAGGAGCTGATCCCAAACCTCAGCAGGCACGGATGCAGCAATCCCCATCTCCCTCCATGTGTTCATCACTTCTGAACCTGCTCAGTGCAATGCCAGCAGTTCCAGTGAGATTAAAACTTGTCACTGTATTCCTGCATGGCAAACAAAAGAGGAATGTCATGTTTGAGACAGTGCTGGCTGACACACTTTGCTTTGGAAAAGATTCTGGGACTCTGTTCCCTTACTTTATTTGAATTTAAATAGAAAAAGATCTACCAGAGATATTCCTGAGTTGAGATTTGTTAAGCTTTCCCTGACAACAAGGTAAAATAAAGCTCCTCCAGGCATAACCAAATAAAAGAAAAAAAACCCAATGAAACAAAACCAGGCACATCAAGAGATGTCAAAACAAATCTGACACCGTTGTGTGAAGAAAAGGTCCTCACCTTCATGTAACTACAAGATATAGACCCAAGTCTCTACTTCCTGTTAAGATTAAACAACTCTTCTCACCACAGACTGATGCAGAATCAATGAGCAATTGTCCTCCCCAAAGCAAAGGAAGAGGAAGTTCTCTTGTGTTTGGAAACCCCAGCAGAGATGGACTTTAAGATAACCATGGGTGCCTGGAAATTCTCCTGGGGGAATATTGTCTTCATCAGTTTTATTTGCTTTTCTCATCAGAGCACTGAGTCATATGTTTAGGGCTGCCATGGCCTTCACCAGGGTGACGTGGCTGGCTGGGTCAGTCTCTGTGCTGGTGTCTGCACTGTCCCCCTTGGTGGCCAGCACCTTCTGCCGGTGCCTCTCCTCCTGCCGCTTCTTCTTCTCCAGCCGCTGCTGCTCCTTCCTTTGCTTCTTGGCCACCTGAAAGAGAAGCATGAAAACACAAAGTTCAAACCCCACGTGCTCTGCTCAGCGGGGGAAAAGTAATAAAGGAGACAAGCAGATACCAAGGCAGCTGCCAGAGGACATTCCTAACTATTTATCAGGACTTTATTCTGAACTGTTTTGGGAAGAGTGCTGCACGTCACCAGGAAATGTTTGTGGCAGAGCAGTCACAGCTGCAGCAGTGACAAAATGCAGTGAGCAGAAGCTCTTTTTAACTGAAAGGAGAAGAGAGCTGCTGAGTAAGCAATGCTAAGGCATCCCCCAAACACTGAAGGGTGCTCACATTGCTGCCAAACCCCTCACACACCTTTGGGTTTCTGCTGGCTCGGTTCTCTTCCCTGGATCCAGCTTGACCCTTGTTGTTTTCTACTTCACCTTGATGCAAGCTCTGATTTCCAAAGATTCTTGAACCAGTTCCGTTCTCTTCCCACAGTGTCCTGCTGCCGGATTTCTGCTCCCTGCCCAGGGGCTCCTGCTGCTCCGCAGTACCTGCCAACAGCAGAGGTTTTCCTCAGACATGCTCTACCCAGGAGTTGTTGCACTGTCAGCCAATTCTTTTTTCCAGAAATCCTGGGGATTTTTGGAAGCTGGATTGAAGCTGCCCTCACTAACAACCTTCCTCAGCACAGAAGGCTGAAGTGGCAGCACATAAACCCCACCTCTCCTGCTCCTGTCCCCAACACCAACATCATGGTCACCCAAAGCCTTCAGTGACAAACTGTGCACTCACCTATTCCTTCCCCTTCCTTCATCTGCAAGATGGCAAATATTGCAGATTCCACGTTGTAGTCCTCCACCTCAAGAATGTGGCTTACTAAATCCATGTCCTGTCCACAAGAGGGGAAGGAGAACACTGAAGAAGTTCAAATCTCTGACCTACATACACTTAACAATACCTGCACCAGTGAGAAGGGGCTGCTGCTTTTATGATCATTTACTTGGCCTGTGCTCCATTTCTGAAAGGGTGAGGGGGAAAATCTTAAATTCCTGAAGCTATCAGAAAAAATGAATATGCTGTTTTCAGTGTAAGATTCCCCTTGGCCCTTTCTGTTCTACACACCTGCACAGTGCCAACAGCCAGGAGTCACAGATTATCCAGTTATCTGGGATCTTCAATACCCCCAAAGGATTTCAGAACTTACAGGATTTGTTTGCAAGTGAATTTTTATGAGAGCCTCAAGACAAACCTTCCAAAATTATCAGGCATTCACAAAAAGTTGGTATTTCACCTGCATTTAAGGGCTGATTCTAGGATGAGATGCACCCTGATTGATGGGCATGGCTCTCAAGTTTGTACAATATGAGTTCTTAAGAATTTTTCCCAGGACTGCTTCCATGTATCAAGGTTTGAACATTAAGCCCAGAAAGGCTCCTCGATACTTACTGAACACCCAGTTGCACTGCACACTTTTTGTACAGCATCTTCCATATCCACCTCAGTCTCATCTTCAGAGTTGCCCTTCTGTGGCTTCACTTCCTCTGCCTTATTTGAATCGTTCTTGCAAAGCATCTGAAGAAGAGCAAAGCCCAGCAGATCACACTGATTACACAACCAGCAGATCATGCAAGCATGGAATCCACCAAAGTCTGGTATCCTAACAACAGTAATTATCATGGCACACTTTTCTCAGGAACATCCCCTGTCAAACCCTCTTGGAAACTGTGTAACTGCCACCATCCCTGAGAGCTTTCCACATCTCCTGCACTGCTGAACAAACTCCAGTGTACTACAACATCATGAATCACAATAAACGAGCTTTTAAATTGAATATTTTTATAAAATACCACACCTCAGCTGTGTGCAGAGAACCTCAAGCAAAGCACAATTGCCCCTCAACATCAAAAAAAGAGATATGAGGAAGACAACCACATCCAGCTGTTGCATTTTCAGCTCTTTCCTCCCTTCCCTCTGTTTTTCCATTTGAGATGCATGATTACATCATTTAGATGAGGTTGCTTCCAGACAGCCCATATCAGAGCATCAGCTTTGAATTCATTTCCAGCTCAGAGGCTGAAATCCTCCTTGCAGCTCCTCCCAAGAGAGCCAGCAGCATGAGCTACAACCTCAGGGCTTTGCTCTCCCAGCACAACACAGCGACCCAGCTCCTCCCTCCATCCCAAGTGAGAATGGAAATCAACTGGCAGCATTCCCCAAGCTCTGTGTTGTCACCATGATATTTCTACGAAAATCCTTTGCTAGGATTTTTCTCCTATTCTAGCTGAGAAGCCTCAGAAAAGAAATGTAAACACTAACTATCTGATGGCTGTGGAATGTGGCCCATTGTTTACCAACAGGTGCATCTTAGATTGGTCCATGTGAGTTGTTTCTACTTAATGACCAATCAAAGATCCAGCTGTGTGGACTCTCTGAGAGTCAGGGTTTTTGTTATTCATCCCATTCTTTCCTTTCCAGCTTTCTGATGAATCCTTTCTCTCTATTCTTTTTACTACAGTTTTAGTATACCATTTTAATATAATATAATACATCAGCCTTCTGAAACATGGAGTCAAGATGAGAATCCTGAATCGTCCCTGGTGCTGGGACCCCCGAACACAAGCACAGTGCCAGCCAGAGCCGGCTCACTCCACCAGAGCCCACCTCCATCCGCAGGCAGGCCGGCGCCTCCGAGTGGTCGCTGAGCCTCCTGACGCTGTCGTAGTGCTCGCCGTGCCTGTAGGCGATGTGCAGCTCCCGGGCATCGCTCCTGCCCGTGCCCCGGATCTCAACAAAACAAACAAACAGACGGCAGTGAGCGTTTGGAATCGCCCTCGGCGCCCGGTTTTTCCGAGTATTCGTTTTTGCAGCAATGGCAAACACCGGGAAGGAAGGACTGGAGCATTTGAAACAGGAAGAGAAGGTATGAAAGCCAGATGTAAAATACTGGGCACTTACATCAGAACAAACAAAACGTGGAATGAAAATATTTTTGTGGAAAGCTCAGAACTATTTCCTGAACTTTCCACAGGAGCTGTTTTCTGATCATCTTCCCAGAACCAGCTTCAGCAAGAGCTCCCAGGGAATGTACCATGTCATTTTACTCTCAAATATGAGGGAAGAGAGGCCATTCAAGTGACAGCAACACTGGAAACAGTCACTCAGAGTAAATTTTGATTTGCAGCTGGGACGAGATGCTGTTTTAACAGCATTCCAAGCAGCTGTGTTTTGTTTTTAAAAGAAAGCAAATCCATGAAAACGTATTAACTCCATTCAGGAGCACTATTAACAACCAAATGTTGCTTTGCTTTGTCAGCACCAAGTTACAGCAATTTCCACAGAAAATTCCTGATCTGAGTATTATCTATACTGATGTGAGAATAGTTCCTACCCTGATTATCAGTGTCTCAAACTATTAGATAAGAGCTACACAGCATTCCAGCTCCTGGCAGGAATGCAGAAAATCCCACTGCACTTGCAGACCAGCTTGGCTTGACCTGCCAGCCCAAGTTCACCCAACAGCTCTCCAGACGTCAGCAAGCAAAGGACCAGAACTCTTTGCTTTAGGGCTCCAGAGTTTCCCAACCCTTTTACGTCTGTGAACTGCCTTATCTCAGCTCCCAGACCACACACCAAGCCACCTTTCAGCCCTGTCTGCCATCTGTGCTGCACTAATGACTTCAGGTTTTCCAACAAATCATTCTCCATTCATCTATTTTACACTTGCTCACCTTCAAGTTCCAACTCAACACTTGTTTATACTTAACTCCTGCTTTCTATTCTATTGCATTATTCCACTGCAGAAACTTGGTAAGACTAATTTTAAACATTCCTCCTCTGCCAGAGCTTGAGTATGTATCTAACAAATCCCAAAGCTCTTGCAAGATTTGAAAATGAGTCAGTTTAGGGAAGCCTCTTTCCACTCTGGAGTGGGCCCAGAGGAGGCCACCACACTGATTTAGAGGGATGGAGCACCTCTCCTCTGAGGAAAGGCTGGGAGAAGTGGGATTGCTCAGCTTGGAGAAGGCTCCAGGGTGACCTCATTGTGACCTTCCAGTGCCTGAAGAAGCTGACAGGAAAGATGGAGAGACTGTGGGCAAGGGTCTGGAGTGCCAGGACAAGAGGGAATGGCTTCCCACTCCAGAGGGCAGATTTAGATGGGATATTGGGAAGGAATTCTATCCTGTGAGGGTGGGCAGGCCCTGGCACAGGGTGCCTAGAGAAGCTGGGGCTGTTCCTGGATCCCTGGAAGTGCCCAAGGCCAGGCTGGACAGGGCTTGGAGCAACCTGGGACAGGGGAAGCTGTCCCTGCCCATGGCAGGGGGGGCACTGAATGAGCTTTAAGTTCCCTCCCAACCCTGACCAACCTGGGATTCTCTGATTCTATGAACACACTGAAACCTGTAAGTAAATTAGAGCTGCAGATTAAAAACAGAGGGGAAAAAAGACAGCCTATTATCCAAAAAGCTAATAAAATAACCTACAAATCTCAGCTAACTTGAGTCTACAGGTGAACTACATGATTTTAAAGGTCTTTTCCAACTTTAACAATTCTATAATTTACATTCACTATCAAAAAAGTTAAGGGGTGTTCAAAGACCAAAAAATCCCATGCAGAGATGTCCACCTGCAAAGAGCTTTTCATGATGGTACAACCACTCACAATACTCCTAACTCACACCATTCTCAAGGGCCTGAGACAACCCTTCACTAACAGCACTGCCCAGGCAAGGCAGAACCTCATCACAAACCCTCTACTGACACCCTGGCAGTCACTGAGAGATGAAAGAATCAAGGACATCAAAATCTCAGTAAGTTCTAACACTGAGGAACAGCACATGAAAACCACCCTGTGACCTCCCCTGCAGGTACTTCACCCACAAGTCCCTCTGCCCATGGCTGCCTATAAATGAGAGTTTAAACTTGTTTTGAGTTCAGGAATCCACGTGAGGCTGTTTTAAATGTATTTAAGATGTTACTGACAGCTTTCATCTCTTTTTTTATCTTTATTGCCCTGTTTAATCTATATACTTCATTGGTTCTGTCTGTAAATAGAGGCCAGAAACAATCCTGACTCGAATACAGGTTCTCACTTGCTCAATGACCAGCAATGACTGAGCATGGATCCATTCCACTTGCCACGGAAAAACAACAATACAGAGAAAACAAGGGACCTGATGGATTTCTTGTTTCAGTGCCCTCAGTCAGAGGAAACCACACCACACAGTTCTTTCCAGCAGCTGATTAAACACCACTTTAAGATTTTAAAATGTATTTAAAACCTCATTTCTCTGTCTGTCAGAAACCTTGGCATTCCACATTCAACACAGAATTATGGAGCTTCACTCCAACACAATGCATGCCCTGCCATACCTTCATTTCCACCTTCCTGAATCTTATTGTACAGCTTTCCTTAAGCCTAGCTCAAACTCCAGGGCCTGTGCAGCCCTTCAGAAAAACTCACCAGGCTGGAGAGATGGGCAGGGAAGAACCACCTGAAGTTCAACAAGGGCAGTGCAGGTCCTGCCCCTGGGGAGGAGCAGCCCCAAGTACCAGCACAGGTGGGGGTGACCTGCTGGAGCATCTCTGCAGGATGACCTGGGTGTGCCATGGTCAGTGAGCTGTCCCAGAGCCAGCAGAGTGTCCTGGGGGCCAAGAGGCCCTGGGGAGCAGTGGGAGGAGCACAGGAGCAGGTCAGGGAGTGACCCTGCCCTCAGGAGGCACACCTGAGTGCTGTGTCCAGCCCTGGGGCAGGGCCAGGGAAGGCTGCAGAGATCAGGCAGGGCCTGGAGCATCTCTCTGCCCAGGAAAGGCTGAGGAAGCTGGGGCTGGGAGGCAGGACCAGATGATCCAGCATGATCCCCTCCAACCTAACCCATTTTGGGATTCCTATCAGAAAACTCAGCTCAAATGCAGTCTGACCTTCAGGAGACAGAGCATGGCACTGAAGGTCATAGCTTAAAACCCATTGCTCTGCCCCCACACACACATGTCCTAGCCAAAATCTCAAGTGTTCCCCCTCTTCAAACACCAAGCACAGCTCTGCACCATGCCCAGTACATTGCAGCTACTGCTCTTTTTTAATAAATCAGGAATTTTCCACAGTATTCATATCCCTCAGGCAAAAATTAGGCAAAAATGTAGAAGCTTTGTGTCTCACCTGCCACAGTGGAGTGTTGAACTGATGAATAACCACATTCACTTGATTGTTCCTTGCAAAGGCCACAATAGCATCGTTGCCAGCAAAAGTACCAGGCTGGGCCAAATTGGCAACTAAAGGAAAAAAGATTCACAGGAGTTGAAACCTAATTTCTGATACTTCCAAAAGCAGCAGAGGGATAACAAGGGGTGAGATTTCAACATGAGCCCAAGAAATTCTGGAAGGGAAATCCCACCTGTGAAACAAGAATTTGGCTGCAACATGAGATAATGCATTTAAAGGACCACAATAATCTCTAAAAAAGGCACTACACCCTTAAGCAAAGCAAGGCCACTGGCTCTGTTAGCTCAGAAAGAGGAGTGCCATGTATTGCATGACCAAACTACCTTCATGCATCATCTCCATGGTACCTGGCACATCAAAGGCTGTATTTGTCTCTGGTTTGGATCTTCCCCTTGCTTCCCAGGAGGAAATACTGAGTGTCAAGGAAAAAGAAACCCAAAGAAATCAGCCACTTACTAGAACTGCCAAATACCCACCAGTATTCAAGGAGAACTAAACAATTTTTCTTAAGTTCCTTTCGAAAACACCGAATTTTTACTCCTTGCCTTTTTGGTCCTCTTTCCTTCTCCAAGTTTCTCCCAAATGTAAATAATGTCTGGGACAAATTCAGTGCAGATTAAACAGCTCACCTTCCCACAGCATGACAACAGCCATACAGTCCCTGATTCTAAAAAGTAGAGAGGAGCCCTAAGGTAGCTCTGGGGTGAGGAACTGGTTAGTAAGGAGCTGCACGGCACAAGGATGCCTCCCAGGACGCCCCCCGGAGCCCATACCGTGTTTGTCAAAGGGCACATCATCCTCCACGAAGGGCTCGAAGTCGCCCCGCTGCCTCACCATGAACTGCACGGTCTCCTGGCGGTGCCGCAGGTGGTTCCGGGAGTGCCCCTCCAGCTGGTCCCCCAGGGCCCGGAACAAGCAGTTCCTGCGCAGGGAGATGAGGAGCAGGAGGAACACAGGTCACGGGGAAAGAGGCTGTGCTCACTCTGCCCACTTGAGCAAGGCTGTGGAGGCAGAGGAGCGCTCGTTCCCCGGGCCTCGAACGGCTGCTGCTGGAACGGCTGGGTCTGAGCGCCCGTGTCGTGGTAAAGCTGCTGGGCCAAGCTGCCCCGCACTGACAAGGGACACAGAGCAGTAAGGACAAACAAACGCCCCACCGAGCAACTTCTCAGCAGGAACGTTTGCTACCTTTCACCTTCTAGAAAAGAAGGGGGTGAAAGCATTCCGTAAGAACATTTATGGACCTTCCTGTGCCCAGTTCCGCTGGGCACCCGGGCTGGGACGGGCCGAGCCCCAGGCCCTACAGCAGCGCCGAGAGCAGCGGAGATCCCTGAGGGCACCGGGGATCCCTCAGCCCCGAGCAGAGCAGGGCAGGGCCCACGCCGCCGGGACGGGAAAATCCTCGGCCCCCGGGACAGGGGCTCACATCCCCCGGGGAGGAGGAAGCCCTCAGCCTTCAGGGCTGGATGTCCGGAGAATCCCCGGGGCTGCTGGGGTCACCCGTCGCGGCGCTCACCCATCTCCCGGCACCTCCCGCAGCTTGAGGCCGAGGGCCCGGAGCTGCCGGGCGAGGCCGCCGCCGCCGCCCGCAGCGGGGCCCGGGGCCGGTCCGGCGGGGGGCCTTGCCCGCCTGCTTGCGGGACATCCGCGCCGGGCACCGCGCACCGGCCGCGCCCCACGTGACCGCGGCGCCGGCCGGGTCACGTGAGCGCCCGGGGAGGAGGAGGAGGAGGAGGAAGAGGAAGGGAGAGGGAGAGGGCACGGGCACAGGGGGTCCCGGGGGCAAGCTGAGGCTGCGGATGGGAAAGCCGGAGCGGCGAAGGGAAGGATGGCGCAGCCAAGCGCCGGGAGCGGCGTATCCGCGGGGAAGGGCTGGGGAGGCTGCGGAAAGCAGCGCCACGATCACCGATGTTGTACCGAAAGCTGCTAATTCCGGCTAATTGGCCTCTGCTACTAATTGCACTCCCTCCGCCCCAGAGCATTTCCCTGCTGCCCAGCACAGCTCCCGGCCCTGACCTCACGGGTGGGCGCTTTCTGCTGCCGCTCTGCACCGGGACACGCCGCCCCAGACCGCGTGTGCCCGGCCCCAGACCGTGTGTGCCCGGCCCCAGACCGCGTGTGCCGAGCCCCAGACCGTGTGTGCCCGGTCCCAGACCGTGTGTGCCCGGTCCCAGACCGTGTGTGCCCGGTCCCAGACCGTGTGTGCCCGGTCCCAGACCGTGTGTGCCCGGTCCCAGACCGTGTGTGCCCGGTCCCAGACCGTGTGTGCCCGGTCCCAGACCGTGTGTGCCCGGTCCCAGACCGTGTGTGCCCGGCCCCAGACCGTGTGTGCCGAGCCCCAGATCGTGTGTGCCCGGCCCCAGACCGTGTGTGCCGAGCCCCAGACCGTGTGTGCTGAGTCCCAGACCGTGTGTGCCCGGCCCCAGACCGTGTGTGCCCGGTCCCAGACCGTGTGTGCCCAGTCCCAGGCCGTGTGTGTTAAGCCCCAAACCACGGCTGCTCAGCCCCAAACCAGCGCTGCTCAGCCCCAAACCAGCGCTGCTCTGCCCCAGACCAGCACTGCTCTGCCCCAGACCAGCGATGCTGACCCCAAACCAGCACTGCTGACCCCAAACCAGCGCTGCTGACCCCAAACCAGCGCTGCTGACCCCAAACCAGCGCTGCTGACCCCAAACCAGCGCTGCTGACCCCAAACCAGCGCTGCTGACCCCAAACCAGCGCTGCGCAGTGAGCTCGCAGCAGCCAGCGCGGTGAGCGGATGGAATACCCGCGAGGTGGCACCAGGAGAACAGCGCTGACAGCAGCGGCAGGGCAGGAGCGGAGCCGAGACAGCACTGATTAATTCATTAAATGTGATAAGTGTAACAAACTGAACCTCCGCGTCTTGCTTCCTCTAGCACTGAGGGAGACGCCTCACAGGACGCTGGAAAAGGGCACAGCAGGATGGTGATTTGTCGGGAGCAGGGCTCTTGGGGAGGATTTCCTGCCATGCTCCTGCTCTTTGGCTCTTCCACTTGTCCCAAGGAACCGGCTCAAGGAATCACCCAGCAGCAGCAGCCACCAGGGCATCGCTGTGCCCGTGGCTCTGGCTTTCTCTGCTGCTATCGTGACAGAAACTGCCCGATGGTGTCAGAACTGCTGCACATCGGGTCCACAGGAGGCCAAGATGAGCAGAGAGCACCTCTCCCACGAGGGAAGGCTGGGAGAATTGGGATTGCTCAGTTTGGAGAAAAGAAGGCTCCAGAGTGACCCAATTGCAGCTTTTCAGTATGTTTCTCATCTGGGAGCTGACAAGAAAGATGGAGAGAGACTGTGGACAAAGGCCTGGAGTGCCGAGGCAAGGGGAAATGGCTTCCACTGCCAGAGAGCAGAGATAGATGGGATATTGGGAAGAAATCCTTCCTGTGAGGGTGGGCAGGCCCTGGCCCAGAGAAGCTGTGGCTGCCCCTGGATCCCTGGAAGTGTCCAGAGCCAGGCTGGACAGAGCTTGGAACAGCCTGGGACAATGGGAGCTGTCCCTGCCCATGGCAGGCGAGAGGGCACTGGATGGGCTTTAAGGTCCCTTCCAGCCCAAACCAGTTTGGGATTCTATGAATTTCCAATTCCTAGCTCAGAGGGCACACCCAAACAGCTTTGTGAGGAACGCTAACAGAACAGTCCCAGGAATACAAGAAGAGGCTTCACAGGGATTTTGAAGTTGTGTATCATTCTTCTGTTCCTCTTGCCCAGAGTCAGGACAGCCTGAACCACAGCTCAGCACAAGGAGGAGCTCACGGGAGTATCCCCAGGATCTTCTGGGATGTTTAGCTTGTGGCACATGAGGATTTTACTAGGAATGACACAACTGTTCTTTTATATCTATTTCCTGCTATAAACAATTCCATATAAAGCATTTCATAGAAACACATTTTGTTATGCAAACACACTAAAAGAGGGAAAACAGTGTGAGTACATAAACTTACTGCAAATGATTAATGAGGCAGTAATTAGCCAGAGGAGCATTAATGGGCTGTGAGCAATTCAGATAAGCACAATGCACATGCCAGCCTGGGAGCATCACTCGTGACACCAGAGACAAAGCGGAGCCGGAATCAGGGCTTGGCTGAAAACTTTGTCAGTGGAGGACAAGAAAAAGCCATTTTTCCAGCACAAAAGACAGACAAGTCACCCCCACCCACTGGTAGAACACAGGGCAGATAGACATGGAGCATAAATTTATCCCAACTAGTTCTACACTTTTTATATTGGGAGTGTAGTTGTCCCTCTTGGTGTCTGTTCCAACTTCCAACATCTGCAAGGTGTTTTTATAATCTTCTAGTAATTATAAATCAGGAGATTTTAAGACATTTCCATTTTGGACGTGGGAACTGACAGCAAATTTGAAGCTTCTAAACTATTGTAATAGTGGTAAGTCTGTTTTCTACTTTCCCAGATCTTTTTAGCAGCATGAACTTGCTGACAAAGAGTTATATGAAATGCGAAAGAAACTTTTCTCTTTAAAGATAAAATGAGTCTTGCAGTTCACCAGCCTACTTCCAGACATTCCTGCACTTTGATACCAGCTTCTGCAACTGAGAGATACTCGGGCTCCTAAAATTTGGGGTCATCCAAAAGTCCATCAAGCACCACAACATGCCACATCAGCAGAAACACAGCAGTGCTCAGGCACTTTGACGAAGTTTGCTTACGACAAACCTTCTATTTCTCAGCAAATAAGAACAAGTTCTTCTCACCTCATCCCCCTCCAGCGAGTTCATGAGATTAGAGCCTTCCTGAACTCCTTGCCCTCCTCATCTGCAGTTGTTTCATTTCTTTCTGCTGCTCCTCTCTGGGAGGGAGGGGGCACAGGCAGTGTGAGCATTCAGGTGCACTTGAGGCTACCAGTGTGGTACTGTGTGTCTTCTGCTGGTAACACTGACCTCACCTGGCTTTTTGGGATTAGTGATCCTTCTCTTCTTTCTTTCATTCCTTCCTTCCATGGGATTCTTGCTAAGAAACCATCTGTATTTTATTGCTCAAATAAAAATGCAGAAAGAAATTAGAGACCGAGGGATTTTGTTCAGGCATTTTTTTCAGTTGAAATGAATATTCACAAAGTCAGTCAAGGAAGGGCATTCCCAAGTGCACAAGGTTGTTTGGTGAACACCACAGGAAAGAAGATGGTCCCACCATTTAGGAGACTGGTCTTGCTTTTAGTTTTCTAATCTCTTTCATGGAGTCTGAGAGACCCTGTGTGGGCCTCAGTCATGCTTTAGCTTGTACTGGAAACCTTTTGATGACTAAAACAAACAGGACAAAAGAGTTATCCTAGGCTGAAAAAAGAGGTACCCTAGGATAAAAGAGCTAATAACAATTGGACATTCAACAGTCAAATTAATTATTTCAATCTCATTCTTCACTTGGTGTTGTCAGATAATAAGTGTTTCTAAACCAAGAGCAAACATCCTACCCAGAGAGCCCAAAACTGGTGATACATATGCTTTAATCAAAGCACTGCATTCAACACACCAATGTCAGAAACAGGTAATTCCCCCAAGCCTGTCACTGTCTAGCAGAGCACTGTTTGGAGAACAATGAGATTGCTTTCATCTAAGAGTGTTCTAATTTAATAATAAATAAATAATGGTAGTGTCTGGCTGTCACAGTGGTCTGCTAATGCCATGGAGTCTGCTTCCGGGCAGGAATTGCCCACTGATATTATCAGTCATTGTAAACTGTCTTGGCTGGGAAGTCAATCATTAACTCTGGTCCCCATGTCATAAAAACATCATATTGTAAGAGCATGACTCGCTTAAGGCTCTCACTAATCAATCAGGCATACAGCAGGAATACAGCAACACATAAAAGGAGCCAGAGGCTCGGGAAATCCTTCAGCTAAGGGGAGACAAGCTGCACCGAGGTTTATCTCCATGGAGAAATCCACTGACAAGCCAAACAAGGAAAACAGATCGTCAGCTCCTGGAGCACTGCAGGCTGAGGCAGACAGTCCAGCGCCCGTGGCAGGAGGTGCTGCAGAAATGAGCAGAGCAGGATCCGTAACACAAAACTCAAAACATGAGAAGAGAGTGGGATTCACTGAAGAGTGTACTGAAGAAATGGAGAGACCTTCAGGAACAGAGAGAGACAGTCCTGCTGCCTTTAAACCAGCAGTTTTGGAGCGAGACTCTCCAAACTCAAGGCCGCTCGCTGTGCTAACGGACACAAACTCTCCCGAAATGAGCACGTTGGAACTGAACCACCAGTGCTCAGACACAGCCACCCTGGACTTGGACTGCATGATCTGCTTCAACAAGTACAGCATCTACAGAGTCCCAAAGCTCCTGGACTGCCAGCACACCTTCTGCGCTGTCTGCCTCAAGCTGATCCTCAGGAAAGAGGAGAGCACCTGGACAATCACCTGCCCTCTCTGCAGAAAGCCCACCTTTGTGTCAGGAGGGCTCATCCGCACACTCCAGAATAAAGAAGACGTCCTGGAGCGCTTGGAGAACCTTGGTTCAAACCCTGAGGTGTACGTCTGTGCCATGGGGCTGGATGGCAACAGCTGGACTCAGAGCAGCCCAGACATCTTGAACACAGAGGAAAGCAGCACAGCACACAGCAGCCTGGCTGTGCAGAGACTCCTGCTGCTCCTGCTGCTGGGGGTGATCCTCGCCATGCTCATCCTCCCCTTCATGTACTCAGGGAGGGTGAAATGGGTAATCTGTCTCCTGCTTACTTTGGGGTTGCTCATGTCTATGGTGCTTTGCTGCACTCCTAAATTCCACTGCAGGTGCAAGAAGGACTCCCCTGCCTCCTGTGACAAGGAGATCCACGTTGTTACTGTTGCCTGAAACAATTAACCTACCTGTTCCAGAGATCAGGGACTGGGCCAAGGTGCATGCTGGGCACACCAGTGAGTTTTGGACTTAAAAACAATCTCTCGGAGAATAAATTCAACAGTTGGCTGAGCTGGCTCAATGCCAATGCACACTGTTGTTAAATCTCATTACTGCAAACAAAATTAACTATTTATATGTTGATATTTATGTGTTTTCACACTTTTTTTTTTGTAATTGTGTTGGTTTGCTTTTGCCATTTTGTTCATGTCTGTGTCCCCTCCTGATCAGCTCTGCAGGATGTTATCTGGAACATCTGGGAGGTGATGTCCTGCAAAACTCCACAGTTGTGGTTCCCACTCTGAAAACATGGACACCTTTTCTTGGGACAGAGTGGGAAACAAGGCTGCTAAATCAGGGAGTGGGTGTTTGGAAGAGAGTTTTTTTAACCCAGATTATCACCTCAATCCCTGGCAGGGATGGGAAAAGGGGATGTCAGTTGATGTAATTTGAAATTACACACAAAATTGGAGAGGAAGAGGCAAAATCAACATTCCTGATCTTGGTTTGTGGCTTGCAAAGGGCAAGGCTCAAAAACCTCATGACCCTCCAAATTCCCCACATTATTTAGCACTGAAATAGTTCCTCTCACCTGTATTCCTTTATCTGGCAAACTGCAGGACCTCTCTTCTTGCCCCCTTTACATTGCTCTTGAAGATGCTCACAGAGGTAAACAGAAATCTATTGACTGTGCCACACCATGTGTGATATTTTAAAATGGAATGTCTCCATTAAATTTAAATAATATGAATTGCTCATTGACTTCTTTGTTTCAATTCCTCATTGACAATGTCAAAACAATTCCTAGTTTCCTTATTGACAGGAATTGTAGCTGAGAAAGTGTATTAGGGAGTCTGCAGAGCTGAGGTGGTGAGTAAATATTGACTTCATTGTTTCAATTCCTCATTGACAGTTAATGTCAAAGCAATTCCTAGCTTCCTTATTGACAGGAATTGTAGCTGAAAAAGTGTATTAGGGAGTCTGCAGAGCTGAGGTGGTGAGTAAAGCAAAGCAGTAAAGTGTTGGGGTGTTCCTTCATTTAAAAAAAATACTTAGTTACTAAGAAAATACATTGAAACCCAACTAAAATTAAACTGAGGAAAAAAATAGATTTCTCTAGTTAAACTGCATGTTTAAGAGTGTCAAGGATCTCAGGAGACCTTGGATCAGGTAAATATTTGTGTTTGATAAGAATGGAAACTGATGTCCTGCAGTTGCTCAGTATATAAATACACAGTGTCTCACAGCAGATAAAACAGATTAGACTAAGAGGGTAGGAGCTCTTGTGCAGCTAAAGTCTTGGAAAACACAGTTTTGTTTTCTGCCAGGAATGGGAGCCTTCAGGGAATATAAATCCTCTGGATATTCTCAGCTCTTTGGACAGCAACAGGCTTACTGCAGAATACATATGACATTTGCTAATAACCAACCAGAAAAAAAACTTTCCATCTGGGAAAAAAGGCAGGTAGTTTTAAAACCAAATACTGCATTATTCCAAATATAAAGACTGGACCAGATATTTAGCTGCACTGAAAATAATTTCAGAAACACTGGGCAAGTCTTAAAGCTCACAGACAATATTGTTGTTGAGTTCCCTTCACCAACACCAGTGGGTGACTGGTACTGTAAAGGTCTGTAACAAATAAATTAATATTGGCCTGAACAGATCACTCACAAGGGATCCTGTAAGCCCATGTATGTTTTCAGCACGTGGCTGTGAAGAAATGAAAACAGAATGAACATGACCAGTGAAATCTGTTTTTATGCTTTCCCCCTGCCCTTCCAAAAGATTTATTACAGTACTTTCTACAGAGCCAAAAAAAAAAAAAGGTCAACAGGAAAGACAGCATACAGAAGTTTATTTCCAGGGCAAGACGGGCCCTCTGAAAGAATTCTTATGGATCCACAGAGATATAGAGCAGCACCTCCCAAGTTTTCCTTCAGCAGTTGCACTGAAATGTTTCTCAGCTGAGAGCCACTCAGTGATTCAGAGCTCACCCATGCTGGTGGCAGTCATGAGGCTCTGGAACCTGTTATCTTTTGAACAGATTCCCATCTGACAAGAGAATTAGGCTCAATAACTGCAAGACTGAAGCGGCAATTAAGTTTAAGTTTATAGAGAAAAGGCTAATGGGATTATATTCTTATTCCAAAATGTAAAGGATTTGCTTGTACTCAAGTTTAATTCATTTTGTTAAGAAAGTTTCAGCTCTGAAGTCCCATGCCCTGCTTACCTTACCTGCCCAGCTCCTGATTTCATACAGGGACTGGGTAATACACTGTGGCCTGAGAGAGGGAATTATAATGAGAAATGTGGCTAGGCAGCATCACCTCATCCTCACCATGCCCTGAGGGGATCCCGCGGTCAGCTCGGTTGGTTGGAGCATGGTACTGACAACACCGAGATCGTGGGTTTGATCCCTTCTCTGGGCCACTCACTTCAGCAGCTGGATTTCATGATCACTGCGGTCCCTTCCAGTTGAGGACATTGTGTGATCCCTCAGTGCCCTCCATCCCTCAGCCCAGCGCAGCTCCCGCCCTCCCCACACGCCCGGCTGCGCCGATGGCGCAGTGCCGGCGGCCAGCCCGGCCCGGGCAGGAAGGGGCGGGCGCTGGCGGCGGTAGTCGGTGCTCGGTTCCCGGTGCTCGGTGCTCGGCCGGGCCGGCGGCAGGTCGGGGCTGAGCCGGGCCGGGCCGGGCTGGGGGAGAGGGGCTGGGCGGGAGCAGCGCCGCGGCTGAGGGGCGAGCGGGCGGGACCGTCCCCTCAGGCAGCTGCCCTTGCTCTGGCCGCTGCTTCCCTCCCCTCAGCGTGGCCCGAAGCGCCGCTTTCCGTAAATAAGCGCTGTGTTGGATCAGCGGAGACTTCAGACGTGAAGGACTTGTGGTAAACGTGAACACGGGCAGCTGTGGCGGTGTCCGCCCTCACAGCTTCCCCAGCTGAGGTGATGCCTTCACGCTTCTCGATGTGCTGTTCCCTCTCCGCAGCTTTGCTCACTTCACTGTGAGGACATCGCTTCTCAGCCGTTGCTGTGCAAACCTTAGGATGCAAACCTTAACTGAATTAAATACGCTCACTTTTCTAACTACTTATGCTTTGGGCTTCTCCATGTCCCTGTCCCCTCGGGCTCTGATCCGTGTGGCCCATCCTTAACATATTTGTGTGTTCTTCCATTGAGACAGAACTGGATTAGTGGCATTCCGTGTTTATACCTCTTATCTACAGCTTCAAAGTAGAGGCTGTGGTGCTCCCAGCACCTCTGGAGCCATGTGCAGGTGCCCAAAAAAATCTCTTTTGCCCAAACGTTTCCACAGGCACAGCGTTGTGTGTGATGTGTAACCACAGCTGGGCTGGGCTTTCCCCACTGTGCCTTACACGGAGCTCTTTGGCCAGCCCCGTCTGAATAATTACCTACATCCGCTCCTCTGAAGTTAATGAAATGCCTCATTAACTTTGGGAGGTTGTGGAGATGATGGTTTGGTTGCCTTTGTCACAGTTTAGTACAAACACGATGCCAGCCTATCTTTATTTCCTCTTTCAGCTGCAGGGAGTTCGTGTATCATACAGCTTTAGAGCCCAAAGGAATTATCTTCCTGCTTTCCAAACATTATTGTGTTATCTGCTGTATAAAATACATAATTTCTCAAGAAAACAAAGGGCTTTGTTTGAAAAACGAGAGCTGGAAGTGATAAAAAATTCTCTTTCAAGCGACATTTCAGATTATGGCAATGGTGTTGATTGCTGAACTACATTGTTCGAGGTAGGGATAGGAATTCCAGTGCCATGAGACCTTTAGAATAAATAACTTCTGGAATATGTTTCTAACTCTCAATTCCCTCATCTTGGATTTGTGGCAAAACTTCTTGGCCCAAGTTTTCTTTAGTAAATCATACGTTGCTCTTTTTTAAAGCTGTATGTCTAAAACTTCCAAGCCTATTATTTACTACATGTTTATAAGGGAAAATATACCTGTGTAGAGGGAAGTACATTGATCATCTTCAGAGCAAAACCTTCCAGAAACTTTCTCTGGGTATTTTAGCTGCTCAGCACTCTGAATGATTTGTTGCATGCCAGGAGCCATTGTGGTGTTGCTCCATTATTGCTCCATATTTTATGTTATTAGGAAATTGGGTTAAACAGTTGTACTGCTCATGGATCTTTTTTAGCTGCTACACTTTTCATATGAGCCCAAGTTAAGAAATCAATAAATCTGTCAGGGAAGGGAGTTTTATTTTCAGTGCTTTCTCCCATAATATATCCAGAGGTAAGCAGACATGACAAATAATTGTAAAATTATTGAAACTTTAGCATTAGATTAATCCTGGGAAAACTGGTCTGGAAGTTTGGATGTTTAAGGTTTCTGAATGGGAAGGCAGGACAGACACCTATCCTAAAGGACCATGACAGATGGCATGCAAATAATCAAATCTCTTTAAAAAGAGCAACTCCAGTTGAAGTTTTTTCTTTTAGGGCTCTGAAATGATTCATAAATGGTCTCCATCCCCTGGGACTCACTTGTAGTGTCATGGGCTCCTAATTCCTAATTAGCCAGGGTGTGGAAGAAAGGAAACACTTTAATTTGAGATATAAAATAAAATGGGTGATTTGGGCCCCTTAGAAACTGATTGGACCTTAAAGTAATCAATAGAAATTCCAGGTGATGGAAGTGAGTCCTGGACCAGGTTGTTACCCAGGCTGAATTTGAAATGAGCTAACTGTTGTCCCCTCTGCCTGAGGTCTTGGTTTGCTGCTGGCACCATCAGGGGAGTAGCTGGAAGTCCATCACTTGGAAGTGTGCACATCTACATTCTAAAAAATAGATGTGGTCCATGTGGTGCAGGGATCTTATTTTTAGGGAACAGTGTTTTAGGGACAGTGGTAAGTTTTACAGAGGAGAAATATTACAAGCAAAGCACAGCAATGACTGTGGGACACATCAAAGTCCTCAGAGGCTGCAGCTGGACTCAACTTTCCTAATGCTGTCAGCAAAAAAAAACCAGGAGCAATTTGGGCTGAGGATGGGAGATAAAAATTATTTTCCAGGCAGCTCTATTGGTCCCTGCACCAGGGGCAGAGCTTTTATTTTCATGTTATTTTTGCAGTAAATGTGGGACTGATAGGCCTGAACGGCGCCCGATTCTTTTGCATCCCAAAGGGAACTTGTCCTTTTTCAGGTTGAAATATTTATTGTCAGCTAATTTTGTGCAAAACGTTTGAGAATTGGTGAGCTGTTCATCTGTGTCCTGTTCCTGTGTCTTCTTCGGTCACAGCAGTGTGTTGGGGACAGCAGACAGGCTGGACCTGGTCAGACCTGACTTAATTCCAGCAGCAAGTGTGGCAGTAAAAAACACAGTCAATTTGTCTCCTCACTTCCTGGTTTCCAACTGTTTGCTGCTGTTTTTTTTCTGCTGCTTTTTCCTCCTTGAACTTGCAGGTGAAAATGGCTGCGGAGAAGTGGAAAGGCTGGGCTTCGAAACAGCACAGGGAGGCAGAGCACGGCGGGGAGAGGGAGCCGGGCGCGCTCCTGGGCCGGCAGCTGCCTGAAGCCGGCAGGTTCGCGTACGCCGCGCTTTGCGGGATATCCCTCGCCTGGCTCTTCCCTGAAAACGAGCAAAGGTACAAGTGGAGCTAGGCCTGGTGGAGTTTGGGTGGTGGCTCAGCCAGAGCTGGTGTCACACTCTCTGCGGGGTCCTCTGAAGTTGGGGGAGTGGAAGAGCCTTTCTGTCTTGCACCTGTAAGGCTTTTACAATTCAGCAGAAAACACATCCCTTAACACTGCAGACATCAAAGCATGTTCTGAAGCAAGGTCTAGTCCCACTTAGATTGTTTCCTTGTTTATTTAGCCCGTTTGTTTAGCAATTCACCTTCTTCTGACTCCTGATGCTTTGATTTTTGTGTGAACTGATGTTTGAAACCAAGGACTGTTCAAACCTTCCAAAAATACCCGGTTATGGAGCCTTGAAATACCCACTTGTGAAGCCTTAACTGCTTCTGTTACCTTACAGCTCCTTCAGGACAGAATTCATCAAGCGCTTTGTGAAGTGGCTGGACCTGCCTGATGCTGTCTTACCTGCCATGACAGCCTTTGCTGATGGCTTAGGAGGTGAGGGCACAGAAACTTTTGCTGAAATTTTGCTGAAGGATCCCATCTTGAAAGAAAATCCACTTCTCATTACCCAGGTAAGTTTGTGTGCTCCCCTCACCCTTGTTTGTTTGCAAAAGAGGTTTGTCATATCTGTCTGTTTGCAGCTGAAGTGCTGTTTGTGCAGTCAGGGAAATAAAATCAATATTTCTGATAGGCATTTATTTATAAGTAGCTGTGGGAGGACTGGTAGTCTATCCATAAAGACCTCATGGAAATGATGAATGTGAAACATGGTCACTGTCTGCTGAGTTGTGTCTTTGGTGGTTTCACTCTACAGAACAGAGAACTGACAAAGTTTTTACTTTGATTGTGTTACTGCAGTGGTCTCCGTTCATACATGTGTTGTACACATTTTAGTGACACCCTGAACACAGTAGACATGTTTCTCACTTGTTTGAAAGCCCCTTCACTATATATGCATCACAAACCACCTCCACACACATGCTCCAAGGAGCACAATTTCCAGAGTCTTTTCCCCAGAGTACATTTTGGCCAGAAGGAAATTATACTGACTTTATTTTCTTTCACTGAGGAAGTGAAACTGCTCCATAATGTTCTGCTGTAAAAGCTGATGGAAAGATAAAAGAGGTGAAGCGTTTTGGCAGTGTTTGCTTTTGCTGGGGAAGATCTCTCCTCATCCAACCTCATGTTATGCCATGCAGGGTGAAGAGAGTGTTAGGCTGCTGCTCGTGCCACACAGACCATGGGCACTGTCACCCTGTGCCAGACACCCCAGTGCTCTGATATTGGCTGATTAGGGGTTATCACACACTCACCTTGAGCAATGGCCTGGCTGAGCAGCAGATAGAGAGTGAGAACTTGGCCGTGTTAGGGGAGATAAGAGAGCAGTGAACTTCTCTGGTCACCTTGACCGGCTCCCATTTCCTCAGCCACCTTTTCTCTCTCCTGTCAGTCTATAAAATGCCTCAGAGGATCTGCTCCTGGTCCAAATGTTCCAGTGCCGAAAGTCCTACAATAATACAAGGACAGCAACAGAGATCTTAATCTTAATAATTTAGAGCAGATCTTCTAAAATAAAAGTGGTTCTTTGGATGCTGTTTCCTCAAATTCAGTACATCTACACTCATTTTTTCGGCCTTGATGTGCTTCCTGCATTGTTTCCCTCATTCTCTCTGCCTCAGGATGGATTCTCTGCATTGAGGCAGGTTTTCCTGCGTTGCTGCTGAGTTTATTAAGGATGCAATTTAGCTTGTGCTTGCTCCGAGCTTATGCTGCATGAGGACTCCATGTGCTTGTAGAAAAGTGGCTCTGGATCAGTGGGAGCATACAGGATTTTGCCCTAACAGGAAACTGAGGATATCCCCTGGATTTTGGTGGAATACAGAAACATAGACAGCTTTGATCAGTTGAAAGCAAAGATGAGGAAAAAGGATCACTCTGATGCCACAGCAGCAATCCCTTACACAGTCATCTGCATGTGGGCAAGATGATTGATTTTGTCGGAGGAGAGGCAGAATGCAAGACTTCAGTAGAGCAAGGCAGCAGAGGTGTGTGTGTCTGGAAAAAACCCTGGTGTGTGGCAAACATCAATGATAAGCTGAGATCAGCTTTTTCCTTCTTACCTGGAAATAAACAAGCTATGGGACAAAGCTTTATGAATTATTGATCTTTTGCTTTATGGTTCTAGTGCTCCTTTGTATTCAGCCGCTGCTGATGCAATATTTACTGTTTATTAAATATCTTCTTAATTGCTCAGCGTGTTCAGTGACAGGGCCTTACTGGCACTAATGCTGCATTTTTGAAGGCCCTTTGTGTCAAAGGAGATGAAGAGATGATCCATGAAGTCAGGAGATTAGATGTGAGCTCACCATTGATTCAGTGAACATCTGAGGATTATGGATTGTTATCTTTGTGTCTTTTGTGTCATTGCAGATGACTAACACAGAGGCAGATGGTGGTAACTGAATCCTTTAAAGACAGTAGTCATAGCAGGCTATGGGTGTGGTATGGGAAGGCGATGTAATGAAAGAGCTGTAGAAGCTGTGATAGGTGATTAGATGTTGAAAATTCTTATTATGAATATGTTCTTTCTCTCAGCATACTTGGAATGCCTATTTTCCAGTGGTTTCCTACCCACATTCACTGTAATGTGGATTTGGGGCTCTCTGTTGTTAAGGAAATGGGTTTGAACTTGCATCAACTCAGAAAAAGCTGGCAAAGACTGAATAAAGACTCCCTTCTTTTGTAAGGCTTCTCAGTCATATGGGTGGTTGTCTTGTCATGGAGTTTTCATAGAGATTCAAAACACTGACTTCAGAATAAGGCTGCAATATAACAACTGCTGCTTAGGGAGGAAAACAAACCAGTTGTGAACTAATCTAGTCACTGTTGGTTGGATTCCAGCTGCCTGCATGTGCAGTACGTGCACAGCCTAAACTGCAGCCTAAATTTGAGTGTGCTAACTGGCACGGATGCCATAAAAACAGTTGTTGTAATTTATCTTCTGTTTACCTACCTGCATCCCTGACCCTTTGAAAGGCACGTGTGTACTGCTGAGGCCAGATTTATTTGGGGTGGTTTGATACGAGGTGCCATAGGTGATACTGGGCTGACAGGACTGGACATCAGTCACAGCCCCATCTCCCTGAGCCTCACTCAGGGAGAGTTTATTGCCCACAAACCATCACCTCTTCCAGAGGCTGCTCATGGCAGTCCATGGAGAATTGTGGCAACAAGGTCACAAGCTTCACCTTGTTCTAGACTCGAGGCCCTTTGCTTGGTCAGCTTTTTGCTCAAGGCTCCCAGCCCTGCACCTTCTGCTGGGCTTTGACACCTCTGTGCCAACTCTTCCCCCAGAAATGCACCCCGAGAGGAGCTGATGGTGCCCACATAGTTGATCCCTGGGCACTCCCAGTACTCAGCCTTTGGGAAACCAGTTACATCCCTCCCTCTGTACTGGTGTCTCCAATTCCCACACCCCACCAGCCAGCCTGGGGAGCAGTCTGAAGTTTGTCCCTCTTCTGGTTGGTTCAGGATGGTTTGTTGTGCATTCTGCACTTCTCATGTGTAGGACTCTCAGGTTAGAGACGTTTTTACTATACAAACTGTGCTTGGGAGCTTACAGGACTAATAATCATAAACTCCTTGGCAGCCTCCTACATCTTTGGCTGCATTTTTTGTGTTCCCAGAGGGCTGAAAGGATTCTGTGTAAAATTCAGCTGTGCTGTATTTGTGTGTAGGAGAGGGAAGCAGCTCAACTGAGCTGGTGCTTAATGTAGTCACATAAAGAGCTTAGAATTTGTCCAGTGGCAATAAAAGAGGAGAACACAGTTGTAAAAACACTGGCCTCTTTTTCATGGATTTATCCATAGAAACCATCTATTGAATTGATTTGTTTTTCCATTTTTTTATGGTGAAAAGCCAACACAGAAGGCAAGTCCCTCAATCTTGACAGATGGCCATAAATTCTGAGTTTTTTAACTCACTTAATCCAAAACAACTTCATGCCAGTTCAGCCTTACTGCCTGAAGCTGTGAATTCCCAGAATGCCAAAGAAAATAGGGGCCATTAGAGGAACATTCAAACCTGTTAGTGATGTTGCATATGTGACTGTAGGGAGCAGAAGGCATTAGAGTGGGAGGATTAGAGCCCTGCTCCCCCAAACTTTGAAGTCTGGTGTAAGATCAGGATCATAACAAAATAACAAAAAATGTGGTTTTATATACCAAGCATATACAGCATATACCAAGCATCATCTGCTTTTGTCCAGCCCTTTGTACTGGCCTTCAGAGAATTTTGGACTGGTTTTGCTCTGTGCTGCCTCTCTGAATTGTAATTTTCTGCTTCCCTCTTATGAACTGAGCTGCTACAGTAATTCAATCAGTCTGATGGGTTTTATTCCTCCATTTTGATCCCTCCAGACCTACATCATCAATTTTAATTTGAGTATTCTTTTTTTTTTCTCTTTAGGACCTTTTATCGTTCTCTCTTCAAGATGGTAAGTTTACTTTTTCTTTGTAAAAATAATATAGTTGAGTTTACATCTGATACTTTGAAGTGCTCAAAAAGGTACTATCCTATTTAATCTCAGCTTCCTCTCTGGCAAAAGCTGCACACTCCTTCCCTGCATCCCCTTCAGGAAAAACAACTCTTCTTTTAGGAATGGTTAAAATTGAACAGCTGAAAATTGAACAACTCTTCACCTCCTTACCTTCACACACCACACATTGCCAAGCAGATGTAAATGTGGTGGAGTGAGGTGATTTTTCTCCAATGTTTCCAGGGAATCAGGTGATCTCTTCCTTTAGGAAGGCAGTAAAGCTGTTATGAAAATCTCAGCCTAAAATATTTTCTTCTGGTTGCCTAAAAAAAAAAATAAATCAGGGTATAAATTCCTGTGAAGCCCATTATAAATAAATGTGATTTTCCTCATATATTATATTACACATAAAACAATTCTCTGGCTTGCAATCCATTACATGGATAAGTCTGATAAAATTAATTAAATAAAGACTGCCTGCTGAACAGAATGTTCATTTCTAAAAGAAGCCTGGATTCTGTCACTACTTGCATTTTTTAAATCTCTGTGTTTTAACATGTTCTCACAGGAAAGAACTCACTGCTTGCTGATAGCCTGTTGCACTGCAGAACAAAACAAGTTTTGTTCTTGCTTTATTTTTAATGGACAATTGACAAGTCAGCTATTGCAAAACCGCTTCTTTTGTGAAGCTGGAATTTAGGAGAAATCTCTTTCCAAGCCTCACTGCCTTCCCACCAGGCTGGTGAGGAAGGAACCCGGCAGTGTCAGCAGACAGAAAAAAGAAGGGGACTCATTCCACCTGCCTGGACTTGCAGGACGTGCCACATTTCGGGAAGGAGTGAAGATAAATCCTGTCCTCATTTCTCAACTACGCACAAACCTGATCAAGGGTGTCATTTAAGGCTGTGGAATTAGCTTGGTATCTTGGTAATGATGGTAATAAATAATCTTAATAGATTGCCATAGTTGATCTACGTGCAGCGGGTATCACAAACATTCTTTGTAATTGGATCTTGCTGGTATCTTCACCCACCTTGAGAAAAACAATTGTGTTTTTCATCCCAGAGTGCACCAAGAACCCTTTATAAAAGCCAAACATCAGGAAGTAGTAGGTGCTGCTGAGAGAAAAACATAAAAAAACGAGAGTTGGCACAAATGATTTAAAATCTATTACATTTAAGATGTCTTTTCTTCTAAGATGTCTTTTCTTGAAGAACACATGCTTACAAAACCAGGAGTATTCACTTCTGTTGTCTGCTGTTGTCTGAGTGCACTGTCCACTCCTGCATCTCCAGCAGGGAGTGTAAAAGCAAACGTTTGTCTGTGGTGCTGCTGGGGGAGCTAGTGTGTAGCTTTACACTCCTGAGTGCCTCTTGCTGCCACCAAAGAAGCTTTTGCATGGAAATGCATTCTTACAAAATGCCACCTTCCTGCAGTGCTGCAGTTGAGGTGGGCTGTGCCCAGGTACACACACAGACATGTTTGATATTTCCAGTTAGCAGTGGTCCTGCTGCATTATTCTCTGTTGAAAAGTTGCCAGCAGGCCTCTACCACAGAGGATGGAGACCAAAGGATCTGAGATCTTTTTCCTGCCACAAAGGAATTACCTGGTGTGGTGGCTCTGTTTGCAGGGAAGAAGGATTTTCCATTTATCAGTCTATTCTCATGTTCCTGGAAGAAAAAGAGGGCCTGGGGGAAGGAGCTGCCCTGTGACACGTTCCTTGAGTACTCTGCTCCTTAGCTGAACTGTGTCATCAGACTGATCAGACTGATTTCCTGGGCTTTTCTCTCTTCAAGGATCCTATGATGCTCGAGCCAGGGTGTTGATCTGTCGTGTCAGCTGGCTGCTGAGAATTCCCTTGGAAGATCTGGAAGTCCTGGAGGAATCTCTGCTTGAGAACCTGAAGGAACAAAAAGAGGAAGAGTCAGAGTAAGAACATTTGGGTTGATATGGGATCAAAAAACACTGCCAGTGCTCAAAAACTTAGCAGTAATTACTTGTGCCTAAGTCCAGTCTCTGATTATTCCCCACATGGCTCTTACTGTAATCATTTATGGCTTGATTAGGGTTGCAGAGCCCTCATAGCACTGACAAGAAGAAAAGCTCAGCATTCTTAAAATCAGAGCTGAGACCTGGCCTTGCACACTGGTAAAGGCTGTTCTGCTCTGAGCTGCCTCCTTTCCTCTTTCCAGCTCCTTCTCAGAGACTGTAGATTTTGCACAAATGCATCACAAAGATCTTGTTGTCTCTTAGCCCAGTATCAGAACTGCCTCTTGCAGAATGAAGTTCCTACACATAATCAGGATTAGATCCTCAGATCTTATATCCAGGTCCTGTTCATTGTCTCTGGATCTGTCTTTAGCATCTGTAAGAGAGAGCTGAATAACTCCTATTAAAGGGAGATTTCTGAGGGCAAGAGGCTGAATCTTCAGATATGTACAGACCTGGCTCATAATTCTATGTTAGTAACATAGGATTAATTCTTGGTATCTATAGAAAAATGCAGTATCTTTATATTCCTCTCATCAGGCAGGAATTGTGTGACAGTTTAGCAATATTTAAGGCAGTAAACATGTCTGTAGTAGACTTTCAAGGGAAATATTTTCATCTGTCAACTCAGCAAATGGTTGTGAGATTACCTTGAATGCTAATAAAGTCTTTAATCGACACCCTTGCCATGGTTCAGCTCAGATGTTTACCATGGGGTCCAGCATGTGATGGGTATCTTCCAGTAACAGCTGTGTTTAAATAATGCTTAACTTTATAGCACACTGTAAAAAGGGAAAGTCAGAATAATCTCAAAGATCGTGGACTTCTAAACATTTGGTGTGCAGGAGCAAGGGTTGGTATTAATGGGGACTGTTTTGCTCAGTGCTGGGCCTTTAAGCTGTGTCTGATAACAGTGAAAGAACAGTGTGGATTTCAAACCCTGCTGCCAGCCCAGTGGGCTTCCTCTGTGCCTGCTGTGGGATTCCTAGCTTGTCCTTTGCCCAAATTGCAGCCATGGGAGTAAATGCCTGTTGGATTAAAAAAAAAAGGAAAATCCTTATGGTGAGAGGAGCCCAAGACCACAGTGTGAACACATTGTTGTTGCTGTGCTTAAAGAAGGCTGAGATTTGTGGGGAACCAATGAGCCTTTCTTTGGTTTGAAGTCAGGAGTCAGTGGGGAAAGGAAGCAGAATATAAACCTGTCACCACCTTGACCTCACAGATTTTGGGGCTGGGAATACCATTATGTGCTTGGGATGCTTCGAGCTTTGACCAGCAAGAGGTTTTGGAACAGAAATAACCAACCAGAGATTTGGCAGCTCCTGCACAGGTGTTTTTACTGATATTTGTTAACAGGAGGTTTTTCTCCTGCCTTTGCTGCTGTGGATATGTTGGATTGAGGCCCAGAACCTACGAGATTAAATGCACAATCCTCTAAAGAATAACACTCCAACAACTTAAACCATGTTAGTTGCACCAAATGTGCTCTGACCTGCAGGTGAGAACCTTTCTTTTGTACACAGTTCTGTAAGAAACTGGAAAACATCACAACATTCACTTGCTGATGTGTGCTCCTGCACCTTTCCTTACTGGAAAATCACCTGAAATTCCCCATAACAATCTCTCTGAATATAATTTGTGGTTCAGGAAAGAAGCTGCATATCGGAGCTCAGTGAGGGTGGAGAAATACCAGAAGCAGCAGTTAATTACCACAGTGGATAAAAGCAGTCTGGTAATCCAGTGATAATGGTAATGGAGGAGCCATTAGGAAGCAGCTGCTGGCAGCTCCAGAAGGGAAGCAGTGACAGGCAGAACTTCTCCTTTTATTTACTGCATTGGCAGGCAAGATTTAGCTGCCACTCTCTTTCTCCCCACGTATCTCAAACTGCTCATTATTCCAACTGACTCCAAGTTAGCCATGTTCCAACTCTCTTGTCATTATTCTCAGCCTGAGACACAGTGCAGTGATTGTAAAAACTGATGAACCTCATGAAGAACAGAAATTACTGGGTATTGCCAGCTTAGTTATGAACAGCCTGGCTGCAGCACTCATATAAGGAACTCCAGGAGCAATTTTATCCAAAGCCAAGCATTCAGACTGGTGACTAAGGCACAAAGTAGAGCATTTGGAAAGGATGAGAGGAAATGGCCTCAGGCTGTGTCAGAAGAGGTTCAGGTTAAATCAGGAGGAATTTCTTCATGGAAAGGGCTGTCAGGCATTGGAAGGGGCTTCCCATGGAGGTGGTGGAGTCCCCATCCCTGGAGGTGTCCAAGGAGCAATTGGACAGTGCTCTGGGCTGGGGGACAGGGTGGGCATTGGGCACAGCTTGGACTTGATGGTCCTGGAGATCTTTTCCAACGTCAGTGATTCCATGATTCTCTGATATTGGTGATTCCATGATTCTCTGATATTCCATGATTCCTTGCTTTGTCCGTGGGGCTGTAGGAGTGGCTGTGGCTGTGCAGAAATTGGAGAGGTGCTGCTCTCTGCAGATACCACGTTTGCATGTTTGCAGCTGCATAAGGTAATGAGCCATGGCTTTTGGAGGGGCTCTGTGGAGACAAAGTCTCCATGACGTGCAGGTCCATGGGAGTTCTGCCAGTGAGTGCAGTGACTCAGGGATTTCACCCACTGAGCTCCATTCCCCTCCTGCTGCGCCTCACAAAGCTGCATATTGTTTGGGACTTGTGTAAAATTGTCTTAATCAAAATTACAGCGTGCTTAGGAGGTTCCAGGAAAGATTAAGCAATTATAGGGATAATGAAAATCCAAAATTAGGGCAGGATTAACAGGGAAAATATCCAAGTTTGGAAGCAAGATAAATTGTCATGTTTCAAGGCCTAGATTAACTGCTGTGCAAACAGGCCAGAAGGAACCTCGCTCTTGAAACAACTTATTCCAGTATCCTCTGTTTCTCCCACTTTCCTCTGAAATGGAAGCACTTCTTGCAAAAGAAAAAACAAAGACACTGGAGAGAAGTCAAAAGTAGTGGCTAATAACTAGTATTTGTTCCTTTTTGGTTTATTTACCTCTTTCTGATAAGCTTGTTAAAATACAGCTTAAATGCACACTGATGACTGTGTTTAATTCCTATTATATTATTATATTGTGATGTACAATTAGAAAGCAGCTTGTCGTAAACACTGCTTTTGAAAAACAGTTTAATTGCATCTCTGCTTGTTAGCACAAATTACTCCTATTCCCTTTTATTTCAAACACTTTTCCCTGTTTCTTCTTAGCTTTCTTGTGGTTTTTTAGGACACTTAGGCAGCATATAGTTAATGAAATGCTTTTGACTTTTTGTTTCTTTCTTTTTCTTTACAAGCTTCAGTCCTATTAGGAAGGGTTTTCTGAGTAAGTAATATCTGTTGGCTTTTGTCAGCAATTAAATTGTTTCAGTTTAAATCTGTGGTCCATTTAATCCATTCAATTTAAATCTCTAAATCCATGCTCATAAATCTCAGTGTGCTGTCACAGTCCACACCTGCATGTTCCTTTTTACTGTTCCTGGGAGGGAAGTTACACTGAGGAGAACAAAAGCAGATTCTGATGCAGCATTGTTATCCGTTGGGCTTTTCCCTTAGTCTTTGTCCTTTTAATCCCCCCACAGAACTGCAGAAGTCTCAAGAAGAAAGAAGGAAAGAAGGAAAAAGCTGAAGAGATACCTGCTGATCGGTCTGGCAACTGTTGGGGGTGGAACAGTGATTGGTGAGGCTGCCCCTGCCATTCTGGGGACACAGCACCAGGGACAGAGAGGGGTGTGACTCCAAGAAAAGTATTTTCAGCCTCACAAAAATAAACATGAAAGAATTAGCTGGAAAAGTTATTCCAGTGTAGCTTCACTAGCTGGGGGAAGTATTAAACTGAGGTTGTCACCCCTTCAAAATGTTTTCTCCTTCTTTGCTGTCATAAGAGTATCAGATCTTCAACTTTGAAATCAAAAGTGTGAGATTAGATCAATGTTTCCTGAGCAAACAGAGCAGAGCTCACCCCAGATCACCACATAGTCTTCCTTTGACTTTGAAATTATTCTTCATTCATCTGGAGTCAGTCAAAGAATCTGGGCAGAGATTCAGGGCCTGGGGAGGGTCTCAGAAAGCCTCTTTATTGACGTGCAAAAAGCTCTTCCAGCAGCAGTAGCAGCACTCTCCCAGCACAGGGGAATGCCTGCCTGGGGTTTTTAAGGGATAATACTTTGGTGATATCTCTTGCTGCATCCTCAGGTCTGACAGGAGGCCTGGCTGCCCCTCTGGTTGCTGCGGGAGCTGCCACAGTCATCGGGAGTGCTGGAGCAGCTGCTTTAGGATCCACTGCTGGGATTGCTGTCATGGCATCCCTTTTTGGAGCAGCAGGAGCTGGTCTTACTGGTAAGAGAGTGAGCACACCATTCTCAGCCAGTGGGGCACAGTATCATGTGTGCAAACACAGTTAATGACCCCACTGAGCTCTCTGCAGAGTGAGGGAAGCGATTTGAGGTGTAATCCGTGAGATTTTGTCTCAGTGCTGATTAAGGTACTCTGTAGCCCCTGGTGACCAAATAGGGAAAGAATATTTGGTGTGTGGTTAATGAAGGAAATGAAAACTTCCTGCTTTGGGTTAGAAAGATGCTGCCATGGAGAAAAGCAGCTGTTACAGCAAAAAAACCCTTCTGCTGGATTCCCTCAGATCGCACAACCTCAGAAAGATCATTTTGGCTCCTTACCAAGCTATAAGAAATGCATGGGCTGACTGAGGGTTTTGGAAAGGAAAAAAAACCCTCTCCAGATTACCCAATTAATTTCTTAACGAACTCCTACTGTTAGCAGAGGATGTCCTTTCTGTGCCATCCCTGAGCCATGTGTTTCTTCCTGGCTGTGTGTAGGATACAAAATGAAGAAACGTGTGGGAGCCATAGAAGAGTTTGAATTCCTCCCACTTACGGAAGGGAAGCAGCTCCACATCACCATAGCAATCACTGGATGGCTGTGCACTGGCAAATATGGTAAGAACATGATGAGAAGCTGAGAGGAGCTCCAAGAGCTGTGGCTGTGTCCTACTCCAGGCTGTGTTTGTGCTCACAAAGCACTATGTCTGCCCCACATTTCCATGGCATGGTAACCGAACCACATCAATTCTCACCATAAGACTTTGCAGCTCAATCTGCAATCCCAGGCAAACAGAGGAAAAAAAAAGAGGGCATTATATTGGTGGTGATAGCAGGACTGGGAGTAGTCATAGTTCTGACAGGAACTCTTGCATGGTTTTGCCAGAAAAGATCTGTCTGGGAGATGATTGCCAGCACTAGTACAGAGTGTCTCTGAGACCTTATGTTTATCCACCAGGAATTAAGAGAAAATAGTGTGGTTTGGCTCTCTCCATATCTCCAGCTAATGAGGTTTATTGGCAAGAAAGTTCTGTCAAGTGAATCCTGTTAAGCACAGCACTCTGGAGGTGACTTACAGGGGAAACCTTGAAAGGTCTGTAGTACTTTGTTTTCCAGTGTAGCTTGTCATATAAAATATGTCACCTGTCTGCTAATGTGCTCAGCTTCAGCTGACTGAACAGCTGCCAGTTCATTGAGAAGCACCATAATTAACTCTGGATATCATTAATGCAGAAGGATGCCTCGTCCTGTCACTTGCCAGGCTGCAGCTTGCTGTCACAGGGAAGTTCTCATTTTGCAGTGTTGTACTTTGGCTTCTCTCTTCACTTGCCAGAGGTCCAAATCCTCAGAGCTGGAGGGCTCCCAGGCACAGTTAGAGAGGCAAGTGTGTCCCTCCAGGAACATTTTGTGTCTGTTTGCCCGTAAAAGGGAGTTACAGATGATATGCATTCTTCTTCCATAACTAGCAATCTGCTAGAATGTTTTAAAGAACAAAACGAGGGTTGTCATCCATTTTCCTCCTTACAGGAGTGTATGTCTGTGTACACAGTCCTTCAAACAGAGGGACTGAGGCCAGGAGTTTTATGGGATTTGCCACCTTGTGATTTTGGAGCTGCCAGTGGTTGCCAATCCGTGTGTCCCCAAATAAGACAGACTGTTGGGGGGATCTTGTGTCACTTTGATCAGCAGCTGCCTCAACCTGACCTGCATTGTTTGGGGAAGGAACAGTGTGGGAAGGCTTTTAATTAACTGACAGTTCTGCTCTGCCCTTCAGTGTTGATCTGTCATTAATAGCATTGCTAGACTATTCCAGTGTCCTGCAGCTCTGTTGGCCTCCTCTTGCCAGGAATCAGCCATTGTGTTCTCTCCAAACATGAATTCCATCTTTGCAACCTTTCCCAGGGAGCTTCACAGCCCCGTGGAGCAGCATGTTGCACTCGAGTGAGCAGTACTGCCTGGCCTGGGAATCCAAGTACTTGATGGAGCTTGGCAATGCCTTGGATTCCCTGCTGAATGGCTTTGTGAACATGATGGCTCAAGAAGCCCTAAAATTCACTGTCTTGTCAGGTAAGAAAGTAAATCCTATCAGATCTGTTTGAGTGGCTCTTGTGCAGTTTCAGTGTTAAAGGAGCTTTCCTAAAGAAGGAATGTTTTGGAGGAGGCAGTGCTGGCATTGCCCAGCAGAAGTGACCTGAGAACCTCCTCTACCACACCTGTAATTTAGCTGTGCTTTCCTGGACTGCTGAGCCATCGTGTCATTGCATCATTCTGTTACAGTTACAGCTGGAAACACCTTCCTTCACCTGTGACTGTTCATTTCCCTCTATTATTACACATTTACTGCTGCACAGAAACGTCCCAACACATGGGTTGCACACACCCCCCCTGTGCCAGAACATCAGATTCTTTCTTATCTTTAGTCCAGCAAAGCATTTCTCAGCACAGCTATTGGGAAAGAAGAGCTGGAAATGACATAAGCTCCTAGGCTTAGCCTTTAACTTCAGTGAACTCTCTTGCTTTTGGTGTTTTCTGAGGAACCTCTGTGTGTTGCAGGGATTGTGACAGCCTTGACTTGGCCAGCATCACTCCTGACTGTTGCCAGTGTCATTGACAACCCCTGGGGAGTGTGTCTGCACCGCTCTGCCGAAGTGGGCAAACACCTGGCGCACATCCTGCTCAGCAGGCAGCAGGTAACTGGCCACAGTTAGCCAGGAGTAACTGGCCACAGTTATCCAGGAGTAACAGCTGGAAGGGAGCTGCCCGGGGAGGTGACATTTTATACTCATGCTGGTTAAATGGTGTCTTTCTAAGGGGACAAAAATTAATAAAACAAACACACAGAGAGTGCTGCATGAAGGTGACCAGCAGGTATCTGGATTGCTGGGGAAAAGGAGGAGGTTCCAAGTGGATCAGAGAAATCCTGCTGAGATCTGTTCCATTTAACCTAAAGCTTTTCTCACTGAGGAAGAAGAGATCCAGGTCATAAATGACCTGTGGCTTAACCATGTCACAACACAGCCAGGCCCACTCACCTAGTGGAAGTCAGAGAGCAGGAGGTGAGGATGGGTGAAAAGGAAAGGAAAATACAAAGTTTTAAAAATATTTATGGATCATTAAGAGGCACCTGCACAGCAACCTGAGAGAAAAGTGGGTGGCAGCGAATGCCCAGTGAGCTGTGGCTTTGCCTGCAGAGAAGGGAACACAACTGACAGAAGTGACAGAAGTCTCTCTGAAAAGGCTTGAAAAATGACATTTCTGCCCCCCCAAGAGCCTGCCATTATTTGGTGGGCCAGAGCTGGGGTTTGCTGGCCATGTGTTTGTCTCACACCAGGCACTGCTGATCATAGGGGAGCCCAAGGGGAGCTGTGGCCCCAGAGCTGTGTGTCCCAGCAAGGTGGAACAGCAGAGGAGGAGCAAACTTGATTTCTCATAAAAACCCAATCCTAGAAAACTCAATAAACTTCTTTTCATACAAGCCCTTTCTTTTGCTATGGGGCATTTGTTCTTGTCTGTTAAGCATTTGGTGTTGTGAAAACACATTCCAGTGTGCTGGAGAGTCTGAAACTAGTTAATGAGATGTCTGGGGTGTCATTGCACACCTGCTCCCTGGATATTACAAAGACCATTTTTCATTGATGTTGGGATTAGGCTCCCTTTAATCTTACAGAAAATCTTATTAGGCTGTTCAAAATAAAAGCTTAAAGCTTAGAAGCCACATTATCTTTTATAACCATTGCATGCTGCTGCTGTCACTCAGCATGAAATCTGGAAGTGGTCAGTATTTTTGTATTATGGCTTCTTCTTCTGTGTATTGAAACATTTCTAGGAAAATTTTGTTCCTTGAATAAGGTTTTAATTTGGAAATTTCAAACCAAGGGCAACATCTGTTTTGGTTCTGTTTGAAACATCCCCTTCATTGTAACTTATGATCACTAGTTTTCAGTTGATTTTCTGAAGATCAAAACATACAAAATACATTCTCCACATTGAACTGGGCATAACTTTGAGGAGACCTGATCCCTTTGAAACCAACCAAATTGCTCCACTCTTTCAAAGGTGATGCACAAGCAGGTGCTCTGTGTCTTGGGCTCTCAGGGATCCCCAGCCTGATCTCTTTCCAGAGAAAACACCATCTGGTGACATTTTTTCCTCTCATTCTTTCTCAGGGCCAGAGACCTGTCACACTGATTGGCTTCAGCCTGGGTGCCAGAGTGATTTACTTCTGCCTGCAGGAAATGGCTCAGGAGAAAGGTAACATTCACCTTCTAACCATTTTTTCTTTTATTTTCCTTACTCCTGGTGGGCAAATTTTTCTTCCAAGAGGAAGAATATAGCTTGGCTCTTTTAGGACAGGATGAAAATGAAAAAAACAAACAAACAAACAAACAAAACCCCGAGGTTTAAATGCCTTTGGAGCCAAATTCTTCTGTCATTTTCCCCAGTCCAGCAGAAAAAATCCACTGTCTTCACTTGAGGGGTTTCAGTGGGTCATTTTGGTCTGTAAACAACCAGTGACATTTGTGATCAGTCTGGAGCTGCCCGTGCACTGCCTGATCCCAGCAGAGGATGCTTTGCCTTTCTTGGGAGCTCTCTGCAGCTCTTGTATCTGATTCCCTGAGTCCTGCCTTCCATTTAAGTCTCTGAAATGCCACTGTCATCTGCTATTTTAATGGTAATTTTCCCCCAAAGTCAAGTATAAAACCATCTGCCAGTTTATTACCCATTGTGGTTCTCTTTATTAATAGATTTCTATTTTTAATTGAGGGGGAAAAAAAGAGTAAAATCGTTATGATCAGTTGATGGAAATTGTATCTTGGAGTTGAGTCAGCAGTGAGTGTGTGCAGCCTGCCTTCCCCCCACTTAGCAATTTAACTCATTAACCACTTACTTCACAGTAAAACATAACTAGGGAATTTTATAAAGGAAAATGTCCAGTAAAGTCCAAGCAGGTGGGAACAGAGTCAAGTGAGCATAGAGAAGGTCAGGACTGACAGCTGTATGCCAGAACTTCACTTCTGATTTAAGATAAAAGTCTTCAAATACAGGAATTCTGTTCTCAAAATAAATATAATCAAATCCAGAATAATCCTTATGGAGTTACACTGGAGCCAGAACCAGATCTTAATCTGGCCCTAGATCTACACTTTTTGTGTCCTGAGAATGCCAAGGGCTGAGGTATTTCCAGGGTTTTTTTTCAGTCTACAGGCTCTGGAACAACATGAGCCCATAGCTTAGGGAGGAAATCCTTAGGGGTCTGGAAGGTTGGCTGCCACTCCAAAGAAATCCAAGTATCGTGGTGATGCATCAGAACAGCTCCCACCATACACTGATTTTTCAGTTCCTTAATTGAATTCTGAAAGCTGAGCTGTTTGTGAGATGAAAAGCAGCATGTTCAGCACAGATTGCCAAGGCGTTCTCACAGGCACATTCCAGAGCAAGCCACAGAAGGAGCAGAGCTGGGACCTGGGACAGCTGAGACTGATTTGGGTTTGGACTTGGATGTCTCACACGAAAGGAACATACGGCCTTGTCGTGCAGGGCCCTGTATCCAGATGGCACTGGCATTTCTGAGGACAAAGAGCTAATGATGGGTTGGCCAGTGAAACACCATGGCAGGAACACAGATTCTGTTCAAATGCCTCTCTGCAAAGCAATGGAACAACCTTTGGATACTTCATGACAGATCACTTCGGGAGCCAAAGCTCAGTAGGTTTCCAGAAAATGACAATATGGAGTAAATGAGCCATCAGAGACACGTTACTGCGTGGGAGGATCATTGCTCTGATTTCTTCATCGCGCTTCCCATGCCTTTTAGAAAATACTTAGCAATTAGCAAACTAATGCAAATTGATAATGGCTGTTACCACCAGAGACCAAACCTTGACACCCAGCTGTGTGTGACAGGAGTGAGGTGTCACACACTGGGTGTTTGGTACTGATCACAGCTCATGTGACCAGTATCCCACTGGGCTGTGCTCCCTGTTGGGAATACTGCTGCCAGCTCTGCCCTGGAACATCTGTACACAGCCAGAGCTGAATTCCAGTGCTGTTCTCCCTCCAGTCAGAACTGATGTGCTGAGGTGCTTTCCCTTTCCCAGTGGTTGCATCCCTAGGGCACAGCAAAGGCCAGCTCCCAGGATTGGTTATGGTCTCTGGGACAGCTTCTTTCTTCCACACCTTTTCTGGAGAAATCATCTTAATCAGGTTTGAATTTTGGCCTCTCATTCTCACTCTGTTCTCACCTGCTTGGACTTGATTGGAAATTTTCCTTTATAAAATTCCTTATTCATTAGCCACTCTCTATGAGGGTAAATGGTTAATTAATTAATTTTTTCTTTTCACTGCTTTTACAGACTTTATTGTTCTTCATCATCTAAAAGATTTACAAACTGTGAAATAGATTTCATTTATCTCGAGCCTCGGCTGCTCTGCAGGCTAATGATCTGTTCCCAGGTTTCTATCCTGTCAACATTCAAAGAAAATGAGCATTTTTCAGCCAAGGCTAAACTTTTTTTTGTTCTGAGCAAGCAATAAGCTGGACAAAGGACTGGAGAAAAAAGCTTCTAACACCTTGCCCAAATATTCAGGATCCTGATGAATTAGCTGATTGTTTATTCACTTGGCTCACACCATGGACATGGAATTTAGAACCTTGGTTGGGATGAGCTTCCTGCAAGACTCTGTGTTTCCTTTTCATTGCCCATAATTATGGGAACAGGGCTTTATTGCTCACAGATTACACTCACAAAATTGAATTGCTCTTTGCTCTTTTTGATTGGTGCAAAAATTGCTCTGCAATAAGAAGTAATTCCAGGAGTGCTCATTTGGATTTGTCAGGCATGGGACTTGCACAGCAGAGAAGGTTGCAGGCACTGCAGGCAGCTCCAGTCCTTTACTGCTATCAGGGAAAGGAAGCTAAGTGATTTGCATTTCAAAAGTGCCCAGGCAGCAGCTCTCCCTCAAATGCTGAGTTTAGCCCAGGTCTGTGGGACCTGGTCTCCCACAGGTGCAGAGTATGGATTTGGAATGTTTTGCTCATGAGTCTTCCATTTAACTGCTGTGGCATCACAGCCTTCATTTCTCTTTACAAAGATTTATGGAAGATACTGATATATTGTTCAGGAGTTTAGGAAAGTAGCAGAGCTGCTCAATATTTCTTATTCCATCATTATTCCTCCTGAAATTGCCCAGCTGCAGCTCTCTGATAAGTGAGGAAGATTTATTATGCTTAAAAGTCAACACTGCTGTTCAGCAAATCAGGCCCTGGGCATTCAGGTTACAGCAGAAGGAAATCAAAGCAGTTTGATGGATCTTCACTGGGTATTGGCAAGTCCCTCCATTGTTGCTACTTCCAAATCAATATTAACAATTTGGGATTTCCTCTTGCATGTTCAGAATGTTTTTTATAGAATCAGCTGTGGGAAGAATTCCTCATGCTTCACGTATGGCAACATTTGCTCACTCTGTGGGATCTCACACGCTTTCACAGAGGGGCTCTTTCAAAGCTCTGTGCAAGCCCACATCAAGGAGTCAGCAGAAAGATCTTTCCAGGGGTTTCCAGACCTTTCTAGAGGTTTCTGCTTGAACAGCACCTTTCTGGGCAGAGGCCAAGCCACTTCTCCCTCTTGCCATCAGCTTGGTCCTTTGCACTGTCTGAGTATCTCAGTTTTTCACATTTACTAACTCCAAGTGGACACTTAAGTTGTGTGCAGTTTTATTTATGATCCTCCTTTCCATTGTTTCTGTCTTTCAAATTGAAGCCACCTAAATTTTGATTTTTGTGTAGTGCACATCTGAACACACTTCACATAAGAATATTTTCTGATCCATCTTCTGAATCTGAACTGTTCTGCTTTCACCTCGACAGACTCACAAGGGATCATTGAAGACGTTGTCTTGCTGGGAGCTCCAGTGGAAGGAGAAGCCAAGCACTGGAGAGCTCTCACCAGAGTGGTGTCAGGCAGGATCATCAATGGCTTCTGCAGGTCAGTGTGAGCTCAGTGCCCGGCCTTGTTAGCCTGGAAATGGTTTGGGGCATTTATCCCTTTCAAGTACTCTGTGAGTGCTGGTGAGGACACTGAGCAGTGCCAGAGCCTCGTCCCTCCAGGCCTCTGCCTCAGATCCCTTGGAGATGGCAGCTTCAGGAGGCACCTGGAGGCTGTTTGATGCAGCTCTTGGCTCTTTGTGCCACTGGAAGCCCATGTTCATAGAGGGACCATGTTCTACCACTCACAGCCTAAAGCAGCTGGGTCAGTTTGTTTGTGTGGCTAATCTGATATATTCTGAAGGCCCTTTAAATCTCAGCGTTGTGTGAAGGCAGTAAATACAGCATTCAGTTTGCTGACTTAAAGAATGGGAATTAGCATCTATAAAAGCTTTAAGGTGAAGTTCACTTGTGGCTGCTTAGGGGGAAAAAGATGTGAAAATCACAATGGAAGGGAAGGAGCTCAAGCAAATTGAAGGCTTTTATATCTGGAGTGGCGTTCTGGTCAAGATAGTCCACATGAGCAAGATATTTAACTTGCAAAGGAAGAATAGCTGGAATAGCTATAGAAAATTTAGTAAGAATATGAAAGAATACAAAGATTGTCTTCCAAACAAACACCAGTCCTTTAAAACCACATTGAAAAACATTTTAGAAATAAAAGCAGACAACTGTTGTGCAGAGTTGTAGGAGCTGGTGGGTGAGAAGAGGGAGGTTAAGAGGCCTGAAACAGCTGAAGCAATCTCAGAAAAGCTATTAAGTAGTCAAGTGACAGCTTCAAACCTAATGACTGTGTCTTGGAAGATAATTGTGGCAGGAACACTGCTTACCAGCACAAGTAGATAAGGGGAAATTAAAACCAAGGAATAAGCAGGAAAGACTAAGAACATGGGGAAATAAATTGAGAAATAACCAGGCCAGAAAATTAGCAAAGAACCTGCAAGTCAAGACAGTTTATAAAGCTGTGAGCCCTTGGGTCAAGGGCAGGTGAAAATGCTGCTGGTGTTTTCCATGCACAAATCCATGGGGATACCTACACACGTACTTGGGAAGTGGGGAAGTACAGAGTTGATGTGATTCTAACAGAGTGTTTTCACTTAGAAAGAATAATTAAATAAATTAATTTAAAGTATTCAAGGTTAAACCAACAAATTATCAATCCTATCTTTGAGCTAGGCTGGGAATTGTTGCTTTTGTCCTCTTTGGATCTCAGGATTTTCAAGGATGCCAGATGTAAACACCACTTGCAATGTTTCTTCCTGTGCCATAAGGAAAGCTGCCTCCCTCGGAGTGCTCTGAGTTCCTCCAAGAAGCCATAAATTATAGAAATTGTTGGATATAACTGAGTTTACCCAGAAAATATTGTTCCTATCTATGTTCTACAAAAAAAAAATTCACTGTATCACTGCTCAGTGTATCCATTTCCTATAACACACGCACACACACACAAAAAAGATCTTGTTACAGTTTCTAAGCGTGCCTATACTGTTGGAATAAAATACAGTGTGTGTGTCTAGAGGGTTATTCAGGCAACATGAGGGGCAACTAGAGGAGGGAATTGAGACATTTGGGGAATTTCTGTGAGGACTGAGGTAGAGAGAAAGATTATACAAACATTTTGTGGTAAGGCCTCACCTGATTCTGATTTCTCTGGTCTCTTGCTTGCACAAAGGGTGGCCTCATTCTGTCACTTCAGGAGTAACTCTATTTAGGTTGGATGAATTACACAGAATAGAATTCCTGTGAGATCAGATTTGAGCCCAGTTGTTGAGCTTCAGTCCTTGTTCTCCTTTGGCTTTGGAATGTGAGAGTACAGGGTGAGTGAGAGCCCTGTCAGCTCTTGGAGCTGCCCCATCTCACTTAAACAGCAGAGCTGCAAATTCCCAGTGGGAAACCTCACCCAAATCAGTTGGATTGGCTCAGCTTTTGAAAGAACCCACACCTGAGCAGTGTGAATGTGTTGTAAAGGTTTTGCAGGGCTCTGCGTAGACTTACAACTCCTCCTGTGGATTATTTGGAGTAGCCAGGAATGGGCACCTTTGCCAGGAGCTTTTCACCTGCTGCCATCACAGAGCACCAATCTCACTCATGCACTTAAATCTGCTCTGTAGAGTACAGTGGCATTTCAGTACCCAGATTTTATGCTGTTGCTCACTTCAGAAGAGTTTTGTATTTCCTCTCCTCACGCTACAATCTACCCTGAAACTGTCACAGTGACTTATGGCACTGCTTTAGAGTGGGAACAAACCCTTCCTAGTTCTGTCACTGAAGCCATGTATTTCTACATTACCTATAAATCAGGAGCACTCCCAGGAGCTTCCCAGTCAATATTTATGTCACAACATCAGTGTTGTAGGTCTCGTCACTTTTACAGCTTTATGGCCTGGAGAACCTATCAGTACATTAAAAAGATGAAGTACGTCAATGTGCAAACCCTGAGCAAACACAGAAATAAACAGAAGGGTCAGATTTTTTAACTCACTGCAGGTAAAGAGACAACAGCCATGGATCAGGATTCAGTTCATACTTACACCCCTGTGTCCCAGGAACCTTCTCTGAATCCAGCAAGCATTCCTGGTGTGATTGCTTCATCACACAGACCTGCAGCTGGTCTTGGTCCAGACATCACTGTGCTTCCCAGCACATCCACTCTCCTTGTGGTCTGAGTAGTAACACATTGGGAGTGTTTCAGGTCAGGTTGGACAGGGCTTGGAGCAACCTGGTCTAGTGGAAGGTGCCCCTGCCCATGGTAGGGGGTGGAACAGGATAAGCTTTAAGGTCCCTTCCAGCTCAAACTGTTCTGGAATTCTTTGATTCCACATGGCATTGGCTGGGCAACAAGATTATTCCCACTCTTCTCTGCTTCCAGGGGGGACTGGCTGCTGAGCTTTGTTTACAGAACCTCCTCTGTCCAGCTCAACGTCGCAGGCCTCCAGCCAGTTGACCTGGATGACAGGAGGATGGTGAACATGGACCTTTCCTCTGTGGTAAGTTCTCTTATTCTCATTTTTTCTCCATCATGCTTTGTCTACAGCACTGTAATGCCACACTGACTGTTCTGGGGGAGCTGGGGACTGAAGAGAGCCCCTCTAGGTGCATCCCTCTTTCCTGTCTTTGAGAGAACTCTTATCCACACTTCCCTCTGGATTTTGTTGGCCTGGCTAGCACTCAACACTGAGCAAAACAATGAGAATCCATCTCTCCTGTTGGATATGTTTGGGGTTTTTTGGTTCTGACATATCTCATAGTGGAGATAGAAAATGCTGTCACTCCTCAAGTAAGGCCTTGCTGTCAGAGAATCATGGAATGGTTTGGGTTGGAAAGAGCTGAGTCCCAAGCCCTGTGAGTGTGGATCCCAGGGAGGTGGGATCAGCAGCTGGGAAACGTGGATCCCAAACACGCGCCCGCACGGCAGGTGCAGCCCACTATCTTATCTTGGTGGAGCCTTCCACACTGCTCAGGTTCAGCCAGGGACAGGCTCCTGGCCCTTGTACCTTGGTCCCCAGGGCTGCAGGAGCCGGAACTGGTTTGGAATTACAGAAGCTCTGTGATAGCAATGATTGGTTTGCCAGGTCCTGCTGCCTTTTTGGAGTGTTTGTCTCCAGGAAACAGGGAGAGATTCACTGGTATATCTGGGAAACATTTAGCTTCCTCAAAGCTGTCTGGTGTCATTAGTGATAAGCCACTGTTAGAACATCTGGCAATATATCTAAGCAATATTCAACTCAATTAACTTAAACTCATCACCACGTTGTTGTCTCTCACAGAAGAAGTGAGCTCTTCCACAGAAAACTAGGCAGAGCTTATCTTGTGTATCCATGTTCACAGAAATCTTGGATGTGCCATTGTGTTTTTTCCGTATCTTAATGTTTTAATTTATTGTTTACTCTCTGCAAACTGGAAGATGCCCAGCACAAAGCTCAGGATACTTCCATGGTTGGCTCTTCTTCCCAAGTGTTCCCACAAGCTGGCAGGCACTGTCAGTGTTGCTCTGGAGCTAAAGGCACTTTGAAGAGCTTTTAGATTTTTTGGAGCACCAGCTTGCTGAGCCTATAAATACCCAACTGTTCTCAACTCACTTCATTCATGATAACTGAGCTGTGCACAGCCCTTGGCAGCACATGCAGGGCTTGGTGCTGAGCACAGGGAACAGACACTTGGAGGAACAAAACAGGGCTTCCCAGGGGGAAGGGGTTTAGTGGAGGCTTTTAAACATGGCCCATGCATCGTTGCATCTCTCTGGGTTGTCAGCACTTCCACACTCCCACACCCATTTTCTCACCATCCCAGAGCTGCCAGTACTCATTTGCTCTCTGACATTTGTAGCTGGCATGAAAATGGCCCAAGATGCCAAGTGGTGGCACAGGGGTGACGTTTCCTGTCAGTCAGTCCATGTCACCCCTCTCTTTCTGAGTTCTCTTCAGAGACCCTCCTTCTCATGACCCTCTGCCTCCTGAAGCATGAAACCCCCTGGAGCCCTGCACACTTTATCCTGCCTGGATCACAGCAGCTCCTCCACTCCCCTCAGAGGAGCAGGATTTACATTTCAGCTGAATGAATAAGGTTTGCAGAGCTGCTCTCTGCTCATCTCCCAGGGCTGTGTGTCTGCATCCTGGCTGCCTGCTGCCAGCAGTCAGTCCCAGTGCTGCTCTCCTTCAGAAGGAATTGACACTTCCTTCATCTCACTGCAAAGCTTTGGGGAGGAAAAATGTATGTTAAGTAGGTGTCATTGCCTTGATCCATTTTCCAGACCATGGGAAGGAATACAGTGCATTCTGGTGAACATTTTAGAAATAAAAGGAGCAAGAATGGGGAAGGAAATATCCGGGAGCAATATTTTTTAAAGTGGCAGGAAAGCAAAGATGGATTTTGCTGTGAGTACAGTGCAGTAGCATAACAGAAAGAAAAAAAAAACCCCAAAGTGATATTTAGAGATAAATAGAGATACAGGTATTTTCTTTCTGGAGACCAGCTCCACCCCTGCAGTTGCCCTTGTTGGAGGTCCCTGTGGGTGTCCTGCCAGGAGAAGGAAAGCTGTGATAGAAGAATAAAGTATAGCTGATACAAAGGTGCTCAGCATGAAAATATTATGAAGGCACCATCAGTATTTTTGGCATCTCCTGGTCCATCCATAATGAAAACTGGTCTGTATCCAAACAGCTTGGTTCTTTTGCTGTGGTAGCACTAGAATCCTCAAAAGAGTGGAGGATTAGGAGCCCTCAGTATAAACAGCAATTCACCTCCAAGGCCTCTGTCTCATGTCTCTTTTGATTAGTGTGGTTTTATCTGACTGTCAGTAAAAAAGCAGAGAGAAAAATGTCCTCCCACTCAGCAAATGCAGTTATAAAATCCTTCCTCGTGGTTACAAAGGGACTGATTTATTCTGTGGATTTATTTGACAGTACCTGTTAGAGACCAAGGAAGCTGTGGAGCTGCAGGGGATTATCCTGATTGCTGTTTATTCCCAGGGGAGTTTGTTCAGTGCAGTCTGAATTAATATTTGAATATTGCAGAACTGCTCAAGGAGCACCTTCAGGAGGCTCAGGAGTCAGCAACAAGTCAGGAATGGACAGTTTCACAGCAGCAGCAGATAGGGATGAACTTGCAGGTTTAGAGGCAGTGAGAATGCATGGCTGGGAGTCCAGGGGAGAGCAGGGATGGATCTTAGAATCATGGAAATTGTGAGCAGGGAAAGGCTCTCAATAGACCATTGAGGCCAGTTGTTCCCCCAGCACTGCCAAGGCCACCACTAACCCATGTCCCCTGGCTTGGAGTGCACATGGCTTTTAAATCCCTCTGAGAAAGGGAGTTCCATCCTTGCCCTGTGCCAGGGCTGAACAGCCCTTTCCATGGAGAAATCTCCCCTAATATCCAATCTAAATGTCCTCTGGCACAGACTGAGGCCGTTTCCACTTGTCACCTGGGAGAAGAGACCAACTCCCCACCTGGATCCACCCTCCTGTCAGCTCTCAGAAAAGGGACCAAAATTCCCATTATGAGGGAAGACAGATTCAAGGCAGTCAGGTACATCATAAGCAGATGGAAAGTCTGCACTTTGTGAAATCCATTGATTTGGCACTTCTGTGAGTCAGGCTTTTTTTCTCCAAACACATTAAATTGTGGTTTTACCCACTGTATTCCCAAGACTTGCAGCAAAGAATTAATTGTGGTTACAAAATGTGGATTAATTAAAAACCCTGGGGAGTTGGAAAGGCAATAAAAGGTTGCCAGTGTTCATTGCTCCTTTGTTTCACTTCTTCCCAGTGAGCAGTGCCACCTCCCCAAGGGCAGGATCAGAGGAACAGGAGCTTGGAGCAGAGCTCAGCTTCAGGCAGCTGCCTGGAGGAGCTGGGAGCTGGAGCTTCAGGGCAACATGCAGGGCCTTGTGGAAACAATTCCATCTGTCTGTTAGGCTGTGAGGTCACAGGGATGGCTTCCACACCCCTGGAATCATCAGTGGTTTCATCTTCTGTGCTCCTCGTTGCTGTTGATTTGGGAGCTCCAAGAATCCCACATTAAATACATATTCAATATGGTTTTCCCCTTGGGACACAAGCAGAGGGTTCTGGCAGTGTCACTGTGTTAGAACAGAGGAAGAAACTGAAAAAGCTTTTCCAAAAGAGTGCAAAGGAGGCCATTAATAACTTGCAGTTTGTTTTTGCTTTGTGGCTCACAGACCTCAAAGGCCGGTGTCCCTCCTCACTGCTCGAGCTGGATGTGCTTTGTGGGAGCCTGGGGATGCTCAGCTGCTTCTAAAGGCAGAGAGAGCCACTTTATAGGACTCATATTTCATAAGGCTGGTGCCCAAATTCCCACAACTGGAACAAGCAGAGAGCCACAATTTCCTGCAGATCCACAGGAGGGATTTTCCCATTCCCCATGGTGCCTGGAACACGTGTGTATCCTTCCACAGGGGATTCCCACGTTATCTGTGGGGTGTGTAGAGTGCTCATAGCCCCCAGCTACCCTGGGCAGGGCTGAATTCCTGGCACTGCAGCTTCTCCTTCAGAAGAGCTGAAGGAACCAATGCCACGTTTGAGTGACTCACAGGTGGTCTGTATTTCCATCAAACACAGTCCAGCAGAGGAAATTCACTGTTCCTTTGCAGAGCCAGCAAGTTGGGATGCCAGCACATCTTTCTCCCGTGGAACATAACAACTGACATCACAAATCCCCTTTGACAGATTTTCTATTCCCCCTCAGAGCACTTTGCATGTGGAAATGGGACAATTCCTGCAAGTGCAAGCACTGCACCCCTATTCTTTCCTGGTTTGCAGCAGGCAGGTCTGTAGCTGTTGACTTTGCAGGCAGCTTTCCCCATCCCAGCCCTTCTTGGAGCAAAGCAGTGGGAGTTTTCCCAAAGTACTGTTCAGCTGGATTCTTCAGGAATGGCCGCACAGAGCCCAGGCAGGTGAATTAAGGATAAAAAAAATCAGCTTTTAATTTCCTGTCTTCTGCTGGAACATGAACACTGATTCTGTATTATTTCTCTGCTCCCTTTGAGCTCCCATTCTGACCTTCTCAGCTAACATGGAAACAAAATCCCAGTGCAACAGCCAATTAGAAGTGTTAATCAGGGGGAAGGCTGACTTTGCTGACACCTTGTGCACATCATGTGTTTGAGATGCTGCAATTAGAGCAGCTGAATTATTGATAGGAGCTGAATGTCACTGAAATACCACGAAGGTGTCACTGCCCTGGTGACACTGGGGGAAGGGGAGGGCTTAAACCTACTGCAGATCCCCATGAGGTGGATTTATAGCATATCACGTTGCTGAGGAGAGACATGGCACTGCTCCACAGCTCTCGGAATTTTCCAAATGCCCAAGACTTCTTGCCCAGACACATTATTGCCATCAGCTCGTGAGGGATGAGTCAGAACAGGTCATTGTCCCCAAAATCAGCAAAAATCCCTTTAGTTAATCTCAGGTGACCTTGTTTTGTGGGGTTGGGCTGAGAACCTGGTTTGAAATCAGCAGAGATGGTA